TCAGTCCCATCACCCTCAAACTGTATGTACGTGGTAGCCAACAATTCCACCGTGGCAGGCAGGCGAAAGCTCCAAAGGCCCATAATATTCAATGGTCTTAAAATTGAATGTCGTTTACAGTAGAAATCGGCAATTCAGTTCAACTTCAACCTCCCCTTTTTTGCACATACACAACTTTTGGCCTGCTGGACAATGCCACCACCAAGAGGACAAAGATAACACCGCATAGAAAGCACATAGTTTACCATATCGTGGAGAAAGCGCAACGATCAAGCCAGCCACCCTTTAACACGTTCCATCAGTATTAGCAGCCAAGGGAGATTACATTATTGCCTGATGGTCACACAGACACACACGTGCCAAAAGAGAGAAAGCGGAGGACTATTGTATTACACGCTGTAATCCCCCTCGACCCAACAACAAAGTTGACTCAAGGCAAAGGGACCAATAGAAATCCAATAGTTTTCGTAACGACAATGACAACGACACCCATAAGAATGAAGAGAAGAAGAAAGCGGACCTATTGGTTGCATGCATGCCTTCGAGAACGTCTTTCTCTTGTCGTCTTGGATCATGATTTGATATTTGGTTCCAGCCGAGCACACCAACTGAACTATATCGAACAGAAGATCAGATTGGATGTGGTTCCAGGATCGCGGAGAATGTTTCAAGTTTTCTTTGAAGAAAAAAAAGGCTTCGAAAAATCGAGTCACTTTCTTCCAGGGTAGGGTTGCCAATCGGGCTGGACAGTGAAAGAATGGTGGGGTAGAATGAAAGCTAAAGATTTTTGGAACCCCTCTTTTTTTCTTCCTCTTGACTCGATCAAGAGATGTTGGGATGATTTTATTTACCATTTTTTTCACCGATTTTTTTTACCGCACCTTTTTCCCCGTATTTTTTCGGAGTAAATACGATATTTATGTTGTAGACGGGACTGCTACATCATGAATTGTATATGAGGAATATTTTATTTGATTTCGGATTGTGTCGTGATGTCGCAAGTTACCAGGAACTTTTCGGAACAATAACATGACATGAAAATTCTTACCCTTTTCCCAAATGCTCCAACTGCGCTTCTATAATATCACAGATTCCGGTCTTTTGATTCCTTCTGTTTCTCGCGTTATTATTATTATTCCGTCGCGATGATGACCCTTGATCTCCTTGGTCGTCCTGATGTTCCATGTCATCCACGAAATCCGACAGGCCCACGGACTTCTTGCCGTTACAGTTGTTTACATGGTTTTGAATGTGGTTATCGTTATTGTGATGATTCATTTTATTAATATTGTCCTTGTTGGTGCAATTTGCTTTTTTTAGGGTTTGGCTCTGCTCCGCTTCTAGTTCTAGATCGAGCATGGTTTCCGGTTGAGTATTAAATTCGAATTTTCTTTTTATTTTTATTATCGCTGGAAGAATGAGAAAATGGTGTGGGATCCGTTAGCACGTGAAGACTTGCATATCTTTTTTTATATTTAATATTGGGGCTATTATTGGATTGGGACTTCCGGTGTGTAGTGGGGCGCTCTGGAGCAGAATGGCTTTGATAGGAGGATGAGATTCACTTCTTCTTTGAGGAAATAATTCTTTGCGGATGGAAAGAGAAAGTTTTACACATATATTTTCAGCCTGTAGTGCGATGATGATCAAACGCCGGCAAGACGACGTGCTCTAGTCTCTCGGTGTAGTGTGAATCCACCCAATTCTTGGTTACTGGCAGGAGCATTTGTGAGATGTGATTTAGTCCATTGTACGACAGAGTTCTTACTTATTTTGCACCGGAAGAGCACAATCCCATTCAATAACTGGAAAGAAGAAGAGCTTTATTATTGTTATTATCCTTTAGCAGAGAGAGAATCCTCTCGTCTCTTTCTCCTGATCACGGGGAAAAGGAACAGAGAACAGTGGGTGGTTTATGGAAGGGAGGTACGTACGCTGATAGATACGTATGCTGTGGTTTGGTTGGACTGGAATTTCTGAATGTCGTCGACGTCGCACACACAAGGTTTGTGCCTTGCTTGGCTTGGTTTTAGAGTTTTGGCTTGGTTTTCTACGGATTTAAAGCCAAAATAATAATGTCGGCGGCGGTAAGGAATCTTCTTCTCTTCCTAGTTTTCGGTTTGGTTGGATGGTTCGAGACCAAAGACACAATGCACCATTACCACCACCACCATTATTGTTCATTCAAAGCACTGACTAAACTCTTTTGACAATAGTTTACTATCGACATAGTCCAGAGAAGACTGGGAAAATATGAGAAAATAGTCTAGTCGGGAGATGATTCTTCTCTCATATTATTATTAATATCGAACCGTTCAAGTAATAATTTCGATCCAAATACCACAAAGATCAACGTCAATATTTCACAGAATTGTATAACAGGTAAGACACACGGAAAATATTGACCAAGAAATTCAGCCAGTTTTTCAATAAACTTTCAATCTGAGGAGATTGATCAAAGTAATAATATTCAAGATTATGCAGGTATGTTTTCCATGCGGTAAAAGCATATTGAAAAGTGAGTGATTTTGATATAGACAGACTCGATATTTGATTCGAAGTTATCTTCAAAGATGAGACGCAAAGTGAGACGAGAGATGTATGTAAGCCGGTCGAGAAATAGAGAGAGCGAAACTTGTAGGACAGACAGATCGGCCGAAATCCCAACCCTGACTGGGAGAAAGTGCTTGCTTTCACCCGGTTTTTGTCCAACTCTCTTCACGTACAACTTGGTAGAAAAGCGAGGTTAAGCCAATAATGTGTAAGTAGTTGGTTGAGTCTTGTTGTCTCCAAACTGGTAATGTTCCCCAGAAATTGTGCCGTAATGGGTTCACGCATTGTAAGTCGTACATATGTAATAATCTGTCTCATTTATGTATTTCTTATCTATCTATTTATTTCTTATGCTGAATATCCAATATTATTGAAATACAATTTTTTCCAAGTGATGAGTTGACAAATCAACACATCATCTGCCGCGATGAACGGCAATTTATGGCATTGGTAAATTTCTGATTGCAAGAGTGAACACGTAATAAATACGGGACGGGTGTGTGAGGGGAACACCGTGGTTTTGGTTGGTTGTTGAAAGATCTCGGGGAAAGTCAGCCTTGCGTAAAGAATGAAATAAAAAAGAAATGATGTCCAGAGAGAAAAAGTGTCCTCTCTGAGGAATTTCTGCTCCATGTTACGTTTTCCTTATCAGAAATAGACACACACACATGAGCAATAAAACATAATGAAATGAGTGAATCACAACTGGTCTTCTGAGCAGTCAAGCGATGTGGTGATGTCCCTTGTTGAATTTCATCTTCTTCTTCGATTCGCTCGCTTTTCATCACCATTTAGCGAGTGAGACGGACCAAAAGTCCGATCTAATGTCGCAAATAATTCTGATAATGTCCTCACTTCGTGTTCAATTCGAGTGGGCAGAAAGAAAGTGATGTGTTTTGTAATTTCGGATTTGCTGATGCGGAAATTAAGTGAGAAGGGGAACTTTGAAATTCGTAGTAAATTTTGGTAGCCGTATAATTAATCGAATAAAGAAGACCTCCATGCAAAATGTTGGTTCAGTATTGGAACGAAAATAGCCTAAGGTAGAACAACAATGATAAAATATATAGCCGTCCACTTACGGAGACATTAATATATATTTGTACGTATTTATTTACCTACGTATGCACATTTTATCTTGATGATGCATAATTTTATACCGTTTTGAGGAGCCATTTTGTATATAAGTACCCCACCCAGGATATTAACTTGCACACAAGTTTTTCCAAAGTGCACATGCATTCAGTGAAAAACGACATGCCCTGAACTGAACTGAACCAAAATTGGGAGAATATTTAATTGAAATTTTAATTGAGTCGGGCTTGTTAGACAGGCTGACTTTACTTTGATTTCAGCGTGCCGCATGTGGCATGACAAGAGATCGCTTTTCACATCATATCACCGCGTTTTACTGCGAACTACTTATTTAGCATTCATCTCCGCTACGCTAAGTTCCCCAAGTCTACGTCGACTGAATTTTGATGGATATACATATGTATATCTAATATGCATATGCATATCTAATACTGCACCATGGCTGGCAGGATGGATGAAAAGTGAAAAGTAAATAAACAAACTTTCTCTTCTCCGGTAGGACTAAAATAAAATAATGAGAACGGCGGAAACCTAAACCTCTGGCGGAAATGTGTGTACCTTTGTGTCTCAAAAATTCTGTGAAAACTCGGGCTTCAATTTTCAACAAAGTTTTCATGTATGTATGTACATATTCACCTGCGGAGAACTGAACCCAGCCAGACAAAAGATGCATATCGAACAGTTTCACAAAAAGTTGTGAGGCAGAAATATATGTAAAGTTGTATATATCAATCGCTGATTTTAAATGTGACCATTGGTGTGCCTGCCTGACTGCCTGCCTCCGTCAAAATTGGTAATTACGCCATTTTGGAATTAAATACGAGTAGAATGTGGTCTTTTCCAGTCGGACAAAACTCTGTGGTGGTGGTTGTGCAATGAATATTAGGTTTGATGCATATAAGTACATAGCTTAGCAGCAGAGGCAAGAGCTAGAGGTTTGTTGAATGTTGGTTTTGTTGTTCTCGTTTGCAGTAGTTTATGAGCGTGTGCTTTCACCGTGTAATTTCATTACGTCTGACTTTCCCTGCCTACTAAAACGGAATCCTGTAGCGGTTCGAGGTATGTATGCAATTCTAAACTCATTTGGGAGAGGAGCACTAGCGTATGCAGCTTCTGAACCGAGATGGATGGACCCTGTTCAAACTTAATAACCCGTGCGATTGACTTGACTTTCACCTTTCTCTCTTTGACAAAATGAAATTTGGAATGCATGACTGGATTTGGAATACTGTGGCAGAAATGGGAAAATGTGAGCATTGTTTTTACTTGTGGTAAAAGCTATCTCGTATGAAACAAGGTACACATGATTGTTTTTTTTTGCTATTTATTTGGTTTTTTAAACACTTGAAAATTGTAACAAACTAAATTATTTGAAATACCGTCACGTTTTTTGTTAGTCCAAAAAAGTTTGAGTTGTGCTCATCAGTTTCGCCAACGTGGTGCTGGGGCGACATTGTTCCTGCAGGCGGTGCAGTCATACCTGAGAATTTCGGGGTGCGGTGCACTCACGAAGACGGGGGCGTTATTGGACCCAGCTGCCACCAAGGGGGCCGATTCTGGCCGATCCAGACCAACATATGCTTGTGACGATCCTTGGGAGCTGGATGAAGAAGATTTTTCTGCATCAAACTTGGTTAATTCTTTGTCCACGCTGGAAGTTTCGAAATTTGTACCAGAAGAAGCGGCTCCTGCGACGTACGGATTAAAGGACCCACCACCATCAGCAGCAGCTACGAATTGGGAGTTGGACCCGGAAGCGGAGGTCGAGTGCTCGGCTGAACTCTCAGATTTGATTGATTCCGAGCTGGAGGCAGAGTTTTGGAATTGTGACCCTTGTCCGGCAGAGACAAAGCCAGAATTTCCGTAGCCACCATTGACACCGGCAACATATGCTCCTTCCGACCCAGACGAGGAGGATGAAGAGGCCTTGTTCTGCTCAAACTTGGAGGATTCCTTGCTCGAGTCGGAAGTTTGGAATTGTGAGGCTTGTCCAGCACTGACTTGTTGGGGGAAGTAGGAAGGTCTCGTTTCGGCGGAGACGAATTGTCCTTGTGAGCCAGAAGAGGAGGAGGCATGTTCTTTGCTTTGCTCGAGTTTAGTTGATTCTGCGGAGGAAGCAGAGTTTTGAAATTGGGCCCCTTCAGCAGCTACGATTTGTGATCCTGCATAAGGTACACTTCCTCCAGTGGCACCGTAATATGATCCAGTTTGGCCGGATGATGCACTGGCGGATTCTTTGTTAGATTCAGATTTGATGGATTCTTTGCTGGAATCGGACGTTTGGAATTGTGCTCCTTCTGCTGCAACGACTTGGGATGCTCCGTATGGACGATAAGGTGCAGCATTTACCCCGGTGGCACCGTAATATGCTCCAGTTTGGCCGGATGAGGCGCTAGCAGATTCCTTGTTAGATTCAAACTTTGTGGATTCTTTGTTTGAGTCAGAAGTTTGAAACTGTGCACCTTCGGCAGCGACGACTTGGGACGCTCCGTATGGTCGATAAGGTGCAGAATTTACCCCGGTGGCACCATAATATGCTCCCGTTTGACCGGATGAAGCACTGGCGGATTCTTTGCTAGATTCTGATTTGATGGACTCTTTGTTAGAGTTAGATGTTTGGAATTGTGCCCCTTCTGCTGCTACGACTTGGGACGCTTCGTAAGTCGGATAAGAGCCAGCATTTACCCCGGTGGCTCCATAATACGCCCCCGTTTGTCCAGAAGAGGCCGAACTGGATTGCTTGTCAGATTCAAACTTGGTGGATTCTTTGCTTGAGTCGGAGGTTTGAAATTGTGCACCTTCGGCGGCAACGACTTGGGATGCTCCGTAAGGTCGATAAGGTGCAGCATTTACCCCAGTGGCTCCATAATACGCCCCCGTTTGACCGGATGATGCACTGGAAGATTCTTTGTTAGATTCAGATTTGATGGACTCTTTGCTAGAATCTGAGGTTTGGAATTGTGATCCCTCTGCTGCAACGACTTGTGACGCTCCGTATGGTCGATTAGGTACAGCATTTACCCCAGTGGCTCCATAATACGCCCCCGTTTGTCCAGAAGAAGCTGAGCTGGACTGCTTGTCAGATTCAAACTTGGTGGATTCCTTGCTTGAGTCAGAAGTTTGGAACTGTGATCCTTCAGCGGCAACGACTTGGGACGCTCCGGATGGTCGGTAAGGATTGTAGCCACCTGCTGCCCCATAATATGCCCCCGTTTGACCGGAAGACGCGCTACTGGATTCCTTCTGTGATTCAGCCTTGATTGACTCCTTGTTAGAGTTAGACATTTGGAATTGGGAACCTTCCGCCGCAACGACTTGAGACTGTCCGTAAGGTCGGTACGGTACATTATTTACGCCCGTAGCTCCATAATACGCCCCCGTTTGACCGGATGATGCAGAGTTGGACTGTTTTTGGGATTCAAATTTGTTGGATTCCTTGCTAGAATCGGATGTTTGAAACTGATTTCCTTGTGCGGAGACGAATTGATTATTTCCCCCGAATCCATGCTGCATTCCTCCATTAGCTGCCCCGTAGTAGTTATTGGATGATCCAGAAGACTGGGAAGAAGATTGCTTATTTTGCTCAAATGCGGTATGCTCGGCACTGTTTTGGGCTTGGTTGTAGGCAGAAGAACCTCCTGTTGCGAGATAGGATGGGACGCCTGGGACAATTGCTGGTCGTTGAACGTACCCTGATTCAACGGATGGTCGTTGGACGTACCCTGGATCAACGGCTGGTCGTGGAACGTAAGGTTGGTCAACGGCTGGTCGTGGAACGTAGGGTTGGTCCACGGCTGGTCTTGGAACGTACCCTGGATCAACGGCTGGTCTTGGAACGTAAGGTTGGTCAACGGCTGGTCGTGGGACGTACCCTGGGTCAACTGCTGGTCGTGGAATGTAAGGTGCGGATACAGGTGCAAATCCTCCAAATTCATTACTGGAGTGAATTCCTTCCGTATATCCGCCTCCTCCTGGAGTGTCAGGTCGTGGGGGTCGGTATGGTAAACTGTTTCCGGGATATCCCCCCCATTGGTTAGGTTGCAGAATGTTGGTGGGTGGGTAGTGGTGTCCCTTCAATTGGTTGCATAGTTCGGGGGGAACATTTCCCGTGTCGTCACCTTCCCAGACGTTGACCAGTCCCCACAGGTCTCTCGGATCGGCACCTCCTCCTGCATACGAATAACACAGTTTAGTAATAAATTCAAGACTAAACAACCCCATCAATTCTTCCTGCCAATATAATTTCTCAATATAAGTTTCCATCCCCTCTGGTTACTTACCTCTTGCATTTGGATTGACGACGGTGCGACCTTGGACCGACGAGATAACGAGTAGAACGCACAGACCAAGAACTTTCCCCTGTTTCCCCACCATTTTAAAAATTGTATGAAAACCGAAGATGATCACAGCAAACGCCAACAACGTTGAGATGAAATGAAACTCACTTTCTGGACAGAAAATGAACTGACTGAAAATAAGAATCGGCAGGATGTATTTATAAGGACACCATCACGTCATCAACTTTTTTAACGTACACATAAAGGTACGACGATTCGAGTCATTATACGGTATGCAACGCTAAAAAACTCATTATGCTCTTGTACACAAATAAGTACAACAAGGTAGACATAGAAAAGGAAAGTGAGCTGGAGATGCTGGATTCACTTTCCATTTAATTTGGCCTTGACCTATATCCTTAACAAAGAAAAGGACCAAAATTTATTAGGTGGTACTTTAAAGATGCATCTTTACAATGTTCATGCAATATTTACCCTAAAAAATTTAAAATAATTTTTATGCTGAATTCTAAAACTTTCGTTTTTTATCAAACATGTGTGAAAATATGTATTGGTAGGTACGTATATATTTCTCGAGTAATGCCATAAATTTTAAGAAAATTAAACAAAACATTTCCAAGTGGTATGGTTTTTATTGCATCCAAATTTTGATTGAGATTTATGTAAATTAATAATTGAAATTCATTTTAAATTGAGAACGATAGTTTTGTTGAATACATATGGAAGAAAGAGATTCACCAATGCCCTCCATAACCCATTCCTGCGTAAGGATATCCCCATTGCCCCCCTCCAAACCCACCCCCACCGAAATACCCTCCATTGTACCCTCCATACGGATAACCATCGTAGTAGTCATCATAATAGTCTTCATAGTAGTCGCCGTACGGGTATGCTCCACCAAACAGGAAGCGGGGTTTGTTCGCTGGGACTTTCACAAACTAGGAATTATAATTTCTATTTTAACTTCAGACCGCTTTTAAATTCCATAATTTCATAAATGAAACAAAATATTGGTACCCTTTTCTGAAGCCGTCCAGCACATCGAGCACAGTTACACGGGGGCTGATGGTCCTTACTGCCGACGGTTTCAGCAACTGTGCCTGCAAAAATATTCGCACTATTCATATTTCATATTCGTTATTTTCGCAAGTTTATTTGCATTTGTTATTCATGCAAATGTGCATGTTTAAATTTAGTTCGATTTCAATTTATTTTTTATTTTTTTAAATAAATTTAATAAATAAATTAATAACACATACCTATTCCTGGATCAGGAGTCGATTCGACGGAAGGGCTCACATCTCTCTTGGTCATGTCCATCGCTGGCTGGAACAAACCGGGTTGTTGGTACATGATCCTCTCTGTAATGAACAATCAGATTGATTTCATATAAAAGTTCAAAAATTATCTCTGGCTTAAAACGTATAGGATATGTAAATGTATCGATACCCATATTTTTTCCCCATGGAACGCGTTTAATCCTGGGATACGTGTACCATGCTGGTGCAGGCTCGACAGGCACTCCCACCGCCTCCAAACAAAGTATGCTGGATGACACGAGGAAGCATCCGATTAAAAAACTGGATAATTTCCGCATTGTTCTGGACAAATGATGATAGGAAAGGTTTAAGCAAATAAATGTCTCCAGAGTTGGTGTTGAGACGCCTTTTTATACATTTTCATATTACCGATTTCATTGTGGGGCATTTGGGTAATTCCGGAAAAAACATGACGCTTGGAGAAGATGTAGTCCATCCAGTTGTCCAAGCAGTGTGAAACTGAGGGTGACCTAGTTCATGGTTCCAAATATCTTGCCATTGGGCTAGGATTCTATGACATCAATCACATCACAACAAGTGCAAAGGAGATTTTTCCCCGTGTTTGGTCTCTAGTCTAGTCGATATGATAATATGTATGCAGGTAGGATTCTTGACATAAGGTACCTAAACTCTGTGATTGGGTTTGTTTGTTGCGCTGGAGAAGAGAAAGTTACATAACAAAGTTCAAGGCCAATTGGAAGGAATTGAGGTGAATCAACAAGAAAACAAATAGTGGTCTTTTGTTGAAATCATGATTTGTATCTTTGTGAATTTGGCTTCAAAAATGCAATCATATGAAATGAAATGTTTATAATGTAAATAAATTTAACAACAGTAAATCAATTTATATGGAACTGCAAATGTACATAAAATATGCATATCAAATAAAATCTGATAAAAAGAAACATACACATAGAATCGTTCACATAGCTTATTTTTTGACATTGGTCAACTGAACAGCTGAAAATTTGTAAAATGTTCAAAAATATGTTTCGTTATATTTTCCAAAAAAAAATGCTTTATATTTTTTTGTATCGCTGGAGAATTATAAAAATATTTGTGCATTATTCTACGAAAAATACAAATTGTAACCAAGTATTTAAGATCGTCCTCCTCTCCAGGCAAGCTCGAGAGGAGACAGAGAGGACACTTCCTAGAAATGCTGGATATTTAATCAATTTTAATTTTTGTACATATTGAAATTGACTATTAATATTTGTTTATGCATCGTCTGCCAGAATGTCTCATTTTCCAACACCAAGTCCGAAACCATCCATCGGTAACCTCAAATTTTAAGCAGCAATGAAATCAAATAGATGAATTTGTACCTACTTATAAATATCCACACATATTTAGCATTTAATGAAATCATAAACTCATCCGAGTCTCGGCTCAGAGGAAAGTTACTTCCGACCCCGTTCGACAACCAAATCTCACTCTTCTCAATTTTCGCCTCAGCATTATGCAAAAAGGATTTTCCCATCGACACCTCCGCTCTCATCCAAAACGGTCGAATGGGTCTCACCTTTCGACAACTTGACGACATGAGTCGCCGTATCGCCAAAATTCTGGCATCTCACGTTGCTCAAATCAATCGGAATCTCAGTCCGCAGTCGCCCAATTTCCAAGAAGCCCCCTCCAACGGTTTTGGCGACGTTGTTGTAGGACTTTTAACCGACGGGAATTATCTCGATGAGCGAATCCTCGTCTACATCTTATCCATCCTGAAACTTGGAGCGGCTTATGTGCACGTTCATAGAGAACAATTACAATCAGACGAAGACTGGAAGTTGTTCGTGCGAAGGGTTCAACCCCTCTTGGTTATCCAATTTGATAAGGACAACCAAAATTTGCCAGTTAATCAGACCCCCAACTTTATTCCAAGTCGAGTAATTTATCCGATTAACACGGACACTGGGAAGCATAAATTGCCACTTCCGTACTTCATCATTAAATCAAGCCAGCTCTGGGAAGATGCTGTAAATGGAGGAACTATCGGGAAACCGGACATTACTCCGCTCCAACTTAAGACCCCTTTGGGTCAGAGGACTGCCATGATTTGCTCAACTTTCGTGCCTGGAAATGGGGTCAGATGGACCAGAATTGGCAATAGGTTCATGAAATAAATTAATAATCTTACCGTCTACAATTTCAAGTAAAATTTCTTGCTAATTTTGTTTCACAGAATTATTCATAACCGAATTTACTGGGAGAAAATGGAGTTTTTCGTTCAAGAAGGGGAAAAGTTTTACCTGACCTATCCAATCTCAGACCCACGTTCACTAGTTGAATTATTTATGCCCTTATGTACCGGCAAACCTGTCCACATTTTGGATCCCAACCTGTATCACGCACAACTATTTCGAAATCCAGCAGAGGATAATCAAACCTTGCAAAATGACAAACTTTTAGCCGAAATTGCAGAACTTGCTCCACATCGATTGAGAATTTCGCCACAACATTTGGAAGATCTCTTAGATTTTGTCCAAGCTAATGAAGAGAGACGTTCAGATTTGGGCTCGATCCGTGTGTGGCTTGTGTCCGGAGGAACTTTTAGTCTAGAACTTGGGAAAAAGTTTTTTGAAACTCTTCCCCCCGGACACAAATGTTTGCTCGCAATATTGTACGGTGCAAATCTGCCCGAAGTCCTGTGGGCCGCGACGTGGGTGAGCTATGCCAACATGAGGGAAATTAGTAGGAGATGCGTGGATGGAAAATTGTGCATGGGAACTCCGATAAATAATATTTTGGTGTCAATTATCGATGATAAGAACTGGAGGGAGTGTGCTGTGGGGGGAAAAGGGGAGGTTTTTATAAGCATGCATGGAATGGGGACAGGTAAATAATAATAGTTTAGATTTACTCACAAAGTGGAATATGAGGCATTATTTTTTTGCAGACGCTACGAATTTTATTCAAACCGGAGACCTGGGACGAATCGTGAGGGACAGAGGAATATTTAAAGTCCTCGTGCTCGATGGAAAGACCAACACGCGGGTGAAAGTTCAAGGGTCCACGATTGACTTGTCTGACCTGGGCGAAACTATTAAAAATAGTGTCAGAAACGTTGAGAAGTGTGTTGTCTTTGTGGCTCCGAGAACAAGGGATATCCAAGTACGATATTTAAATGTATACGTGTATATGCAGAAATACATGTATGAAATATATATATTTTTTAAATTAACTATGTTTTCAGACAGTTGTGGTAGCATATGTCCCTAAAATTAGCTTGACCGTTCACTTGAAATCCTGCATAGAAAAATCAATTAGACAGATTGAACCTCTAGTAAATTCGTTTCTTGAGGTGAAAGAAATTCCATGCTTGGGAAATGAACAAGTCGATTTTCGTGAATTAAGAAATCTGTACACAGAATATTTGACTTTTTGTAAGTACAGCATTTCTCACGATTTCATAAAAGAGTTTTGACACTGGGTCTGACACTGAATTTATTTTAGATGACGAATCGTCATCAGACTGGTCAATCTTCTTGCGAGATTGTTCTCTTTCCTGTGACATACAGGAAACTTTAGAGCAAGAAGAAGAGTGTGCAAAAGTGTTGTGCAAATCGATTGCTACCAGCACTGGAAGAAATATGCTCTACATAGCGAAAAAACTCAACGAGTCATTTTCACGAGTGACAAGTTTAATTTGTGATGCAGTAGAAGGGTTAAAAGACACCGAAGCCATTAAAGCAGTCCGAACCGTGCATGCAATTAAAACTCATGGATATCTTCTCTGTTGGTTAACGCATAAATAAGGAATTGTTCTGACAGCTATATGAAACTTTTGAAAGTATGAATAATTCCACAGCTCCAGAAGATTTTATTAGTTCCACAACTTTAAAGGACCTCGTAAAACGGATGGCATCTGCCCAAACAAAAAACCACGTTTGGAAACGAGAAGTTGACGGAGTAAAAAATCTGATAAGATATCAACCCTTGAAAATTGAAAACTGGAACGATGTGATTAAGTAAGCTCAATAATTAGCAAATTATGTATAATTACATCGCAGAAGAATCATCATAATTGTAAAATTGAATTTGCAGTTTGTTAAAATTAGATTTTGATTCAAAAGCAACAATGTTCTCCACCGGAAGTTTGGAACGGTATTGGAAACGAGCGTTGGACGACGTTATGAAAATGGGGCTTAGGTACATATAAGTATTTTCTAAGAAATAATTTTGAAAATTTTCAGAAAATTCTAAAATTTTGATCATTATAGTGTCGTAGCATTTTATGAAAAGACGATGGTTGGATGCGCCTTAAATTGCAGTAGCATACCCAGGAGTGAATATGTACCTGGTAGGTTAGGTTAATTTTGCAGATTCGTATAACACTTCATAAAGAGATAATTGGTTGAAGATAGTGCTAATTTGCAGTCGGAATGAACAAAATCTTTGGTTTGATTCAAACAGCTATGGATTCTTCCAGGTAGTCAATGTTTTACGATTTCCCTTTCAACAATAACAATGAGATGTGACCTTTTTAGGGCAGAAACGCTGACTCGAAGTGAAGGCAATCTCTTAAAATCTTTCTATATTGCCGTGAACCCTGAAGCATTTGACAACGAATGCTGGAAAGTGATCGTGGTCAGAGGTCTTTTAGAGGAAAGTATGAAACTAGGTCAAGAGATCAACAAGTTTGGGTCATATCTCGTCTGCACGGCTAATCCTCTAATCCAGGTGAACATCATATACATATTCTCATCTTTTTCTTTGTGTATGCAACTTACCCATGTAAAAACCTGTCATTTGTTTGAATGCACCTTTATGTACGTGTGTAGGAAGTAGCGACCTGTCTTTTAAAGTACAGACCACTTCTGGAACTCCCCATGAATCGATACAAAACAAATAACTTTGAAAAACCTTTCTGGTCAAAGGATGATCATGAAAAGATTGGTGTTTACTTCAAGCCCATCATAACAAAAAAGAAAGTTAGACCTGCTTCTGCTGGAAGTAAGCAGAGAGTGCGTCCTGCCTCTGCAAAAATGTGAAAAATGTTTTGTTTTGTAAGTGACACGAACATTTTTTTTCATGACATGGTATGATGATGCGTGGATAAGAAGAACATAAACGTATATGCAAATTATTACTAAATACATGCAAACGCGTAGTACCAATTTATCTTAATTTATTGAATACTCATTAGTACTGACTATACATTTCGTGGTAATTATCATTATGAAATACATATGTTGGGACGATGATTTTTAATAATAGGGAGGTGGGGGATATTCTGGGTAGTACGGGGGAGGTGGTGGGTAGCAGCCAATACCGTAGTAGTAGCAGTCATTATAGTGCCAACTCACGAACGGCCAGAAGGTCCTACCAGCTCGCTTACTTGGATTGGTCTTACCTGGATAAAACAAGTTTTAAAAAGAACATGACATTAATAGTTATCAGGCAACTAATTGATGATGAATTTAAAAATATTACCAAACTTGGGAATATTTTGTGGGACGAATTGGGCCGCTGCTAACTCGTTTGGACTCTCAGGTAGATTTTCATCGCTACGGTCGTGGGCGTGGTGGGCACATGGGATTCCATCTTTACCGTCCTCGGCAGTCATTATGTGTGGTTCTCGGAACACTCGAAATAGCTCTCCTGCATTTCAAATAGAATCATAATTTAAATTTCAAATAACCAAATTGATCTAAACATTAATCGTATGTAATTGTGTCGCACCTTTCTCATCATCTCGCCACAAGTTCCTTGCAATGTCCACACTTTTCAGCGACAATCTCAGCTCTTCCGATTTAGCTTTCTCGGGCTCAGGATTGAGGTGCACTTTAGGTTCAGGTGCAGGAATATGCTCAGGAATGTTTTCTGAAAATTTGGAGAATTATAAATTCAATATCAATACACTATAACTTGTAAATTTTGACCACAACTATATACCTGTTGAGATAACTGCTGCTGCTTTTGAAAATGTAGGCATATAAATTACAGCAATCCATAAAATTAAGTTAAACATTTTGAACAATTTTTCAGAAACTTTTTGTTGAAAAGATGAAAGATGAACAATTCCTAGTTCAAGGATCAAGAAAAATCGAATGTGAGTAGTAGATCTTTGCACAAACCCTTTTTATACCTAAAGGGTACACCTTCATTAAGTATAAGGGGTTGCATCCCTTTCAGTTTTACGTCATCAAGTTCAGGGATTTCCAGATCATGGAAAGTGATATTGACCATCGAAACAAAGGTCTCTGTCTCTCAAACAAACAAACTCTCTCTCAAAACCCATCTACTTTACGCGTGACAAGAATTATGTAGGGCATCCCAGACCCAGTAAATGAAAGTTTTAGGTTAAGGACAAAGAAACGCATAACAGTAAATGTTTCATGAAGGATTTCAATTCATACGAAATCAAAAGTTCACGTTCAAGGTCCAAGGTGTAATAACAGATCAATATAGTTTTGTATTGCGTCATTCAAACTGTTTTTCCTCTTTTTTACACAAATGACAAATATTCTTTATAAATACATGCAAGCAATTCTTAGAATCAGCCAGATGTCAAAAATTGGATCTGTTCAAAGCAACATTTCAATGGAACGCTTAATTAAATGTGAAGTACTTAAATGAAATAGGGAATATGACACGATTTAATTCAAACTGAAAGCCAGACAACAAACATCCGTTAATTATACATATTATTTGGAATGGAGCCGAATGAGACCGTAAAAATGTGACATTTGAAACTTTTAGTCGTCCAAATAGTACAATTACGACTGCAAGCAAAATTATTTTGCGACGCTTATTATTCCTTCTTTAGAAATATGATGCCTAAAATGACGGATCATCAAATTACCAGCTTTTATTACTCGTCTGAACTCAATTTTTGAGTAGTTAACTATTGTTCATATTCATATTATTTAATAAACTCACAATACTACGGAACAATTATTATGTATCGTCGGGCCAAAGGTGATACGCGACCAATAACACTTGTTAATTACCATACGAATGCTAATTGACATTCAAGTTAAACTTTATCACTTCTCAGTCAGTATAATACCGGCCGTCCTTGCAATTCACCATCAACCACCATGGACTTGAGTGAAGCAGAGATTCGCGAAAAGTTGAACAAGTATTGGTAAGTATTTACTATAATCTTGGTAATATTACGAAAATGTGAGATTTTTGTCTCATCTTTGTCTCATTTCTCACAAAATCTCACATTTCTCAATGTACATACGTGCATTTATTCATCTCACTTCGTACTCCCGAGTGGATTTCTCAACCGCGTCATGCTACAGAGACCCGTGTTGTTATTTCGGGTCGATATTTAGACCAGACCATTGCTCTCCATATTCTAATCTGCTGCTGTTCGGTTATCCGTCGTTTTAAATAAAAACGAACGAATGACGACGACGGTGTGTGTGTGTGACACTGGCAGTGACTGACTTGAAAATTTGGCACCGTGACAATTTCCACGGCGTGGTTTTCATTCATCGTGTCTGGTTGTCTAGCCGTTGCTGATTCAACATTTACTTAATTTGCTTGTTAAATACAACATCATCACATCAAATCCCGGTTTGTTCTTTGTGTCTTACTTATCATCGTTCTTACTTATACATATTTCTTGAGATCACCACGAGTGATAACCTCATCCAATTCCAGGATTTATTCATAGCATCAGTATTTATTAAAGTGACCTTATATGACACTGCATCAAACTGGTAGCATCACATATTCATCATAAGATAAGAAACATTGAGTATTTATTAGCAAGAAATTTATTAAAGTTGGTTAGTTAACTGACGTTGATTGATGATAATAAGATTCCAGATTGTGTCAAAGATTTATATTCATAAGACGGTTCACATATGCTGGGTATTCAGTGTGGAGACATTTTTCAATCAGTAATTTGATACAATTTTAGGCATGTCGTCATAATTGTCAATTTTTAGTACGACGTTGTTAAAAAAAGAGGACAGGCAGGTCACTGGACTTGACCACCTACATACATTCTGAAGCAAGTTTTTATTCTACTGCATTTGTCAGCAAGAATAATTTTAGTGAGTTATTCACTTTAGAAGCAAGATCATTAAACTCATCTCTAAATAAATAGTTATACACGTGAATCATAAAATTACATAGTAAACATGTCGGAACGATTTCCATTTCCACCGTCGCCTGGTATGTTAATAAGTGCAATAAAAGGAAAAGGGTCAAGTGGGAGCCAATCCCCAGGTCGGGGTGGAAATAAAAGATCGGTGGCGAAAGTATTTATCCCACGAAATCCGGTGGTGGGTGTGGTTAATCTGGTGGGTGGTGGTGGTGGTCGCAATAAAGAATTGGTGGAGCCTCCGAATAGTTCAGATGAAAGGTTCGTATCGTGTGAATTTAGCAACTAAATAGCTCAAAATACCGGGTGCCGTCTTTTGCTGTTTGTGGGGTTGTCTTACTTTTGTGTTTTATAAAATTAAGAACCGTGTGCTGTGTCTTATATAGCAAAATTTAGCAGCTTTTCACAGTTTTCTCCAACTTATTGGTAACTGTGTACTAATTCATTACGCATGTATCTATTTAGTACCGAGGACGATTCAGTGTTCCGGACAGGAATGACCCTTGTGGGAGGAGGCCTGGGACCAGGATCTGTGAGCACAAATGATGGCACTATAACGGATGACGCGCATTACGAGGACAATGACACGGACTCTGTCGAAAATGAGTTGCTATACCCGGAAGATGATGAAAACGGGGACGATCCCTTTCGTCAAGGCATAGACTGTAATGATGGCGACGCAGAGGACGAATTAGAAGAGGAACAGTCTTCCGCAAGTAGCGGAGCAGATATGAAGGGAAAACAGATTGCTAGTGGGGACGATGTGTCAATTGAAGGGACGGTCACGACAGGAAGACGACGCCAGAGAACAATGTCGTCAAGTGGGGGACTCTTGGGGAAAAATAGGAGACGAGAACCAATTATGCGAACTCAAACGAGGACTATTTACACTGCTGGTAAGTAGGTTATGCACATGTCGACCTGATATGCAATTTTGTACAAAGTTTATTTGTATTCATTTTAGGGCGGCCCCCCTGGTATAACACGGACGGACAGCATATTGAGCCGTGCGTGATTGGTAAGCAGATCCACATATTTAAGTCATTAGTCATGCAAGTTATTTATGTGGAGCATTTTTTTGTATCACAGGAATTTGTGGTGGATCGGCATCAGGGAAGACAACTGTCGCTGATAAGATCATTCAGGACCTTAACATTCCCTGGGTCACTCGATTGTCCATGGATTGTTTTTACAAGGTTCTTCATCTACATAAATATTTCATTTTTGAATTCGAAATAAAATCCAATGACACCAACTTCTAATAATTTCCTGTATCTATATAGGTTTTGAATGAGAAACAGCATAACTTGGCTGGGAAGAACGAATATAATTTTGACCATCCTGATGCTTTCGATTTTCCCCTGCTGATTGAAACTATACAGCGATTGAGGGAAGGAAAGAAGGTCGAAGTTCCGGTTTACAATTTCGTCACTCATGGACGAGAGAGCAATTGTAAAACCATGTATGGTGCCAATGTCATTATATTTGAAGGGATCTTTACATTTTACGATCCGGAAGTGATGAAGGTAGCTAAAAAAGTTTAATCGTAATAATTCAGCACTGTAACTGTTCATTTTTGCTGCAGCTTCTGGATATCAAGGTGTTTGTGGACACAGACGCCGACACTCGGCTTGCTCGTCGTCTCCGTCGTGATATCTCTGGTAATATGATGATTCATTCATATTGTAATAATTATTCTATGTACAATAATTTATTTGTATGAATATAAATAACTATAAATTTTTATTTATTGTACTATTATTAGAGAGGGGGAGAGATCTCAACGGCGTTCTCCTACAGTATCAAAGATTTGTTAAACCAAGTTTTGATTCATACATTGCTCCCCAGGTAAAACAATTTAGAGTGTTGTTCTAGATCTATGTAAAAATAAAATTATAATGCATTTTTGATTCTTTGTATTCTCAGATGGCACATGCCGATATGTAAGTACTCCATAACATACATTTCAAGTTGATGCTTTAAAGAAATTAACTTTTTAATTTGCAAATATGTGTATCGCTCAGAATCGTGCCACGAGGCGGAGATAACGATGTGGCCATTAACCTGATCGTGCAACATGTCCACAGTGAATTACATGCCAGGGAGTTAAAAGTTCGAGATAAACTTGTGGAAGGTTGGCATAAAGATTTACTGGACTCATCAACACCGACTGCTATGCCAGAGTCATTATTCGTTTTGCCATCTACAAGACAGGTATTAACTTGATTTACACTTTTATTTTATACTTAAACATTGATACTGAATAATATTTTTTTCTCTTTTAGATTTTGGGGCTGCACACTTTCATACGAGCTAAAGACACTCCACGGGATGAATTTATATTCTATTCAAAACGGCTGATTCGTCTACTAATCGAGTACTCGATGAGTCTACTACCATTCAAGGTTTGAGCGTTGCATGTTGCTTATCATTCATTTCTATAAACTTTTTAAGTGAATGCAATATTTTGTTTCATTCTAGGATGTGGTGGTTGAAAGCCCTCAAAATATATTGTATAAAGGGAAACGTGCCATGGCGAGAAAAATTTGTGGCGTGTCTATTCTTAGAGCTGGGGAGGTATTAAAAAAACTTAAAAATCTAATATGCACGTTTCAGGATAATATTATTCATTTTGACAATTTGTAAGACAATGGAACAAGCCCTAAATGACGTTCTCAAAGAAATTCGAATCGGTATATATAAATACAAATATATTTGACCTGGTTTCTTAAAATTATTCGCCATTTATCTGTTATTTTAGGAAAAATTCTTATTCAAACTAATAAGAATACCGGCGAACCAGAGGTAAATATGCTTTACATTTATAAACTGTTTAAACGTCGTAATTTCATTTCATTAATCTGAATTTCAGCTGTATTATTTGAGGTTGCCTCGAGATATTGCTGACTATGTGGTTATGCTAATGGACGCAACTGTTGCGGTACGCTTTCATAATTTGTTTGGAATTAAACTAAATTGATCGAGGAAAAACAAGTCCTTTGAGCTGAAGATTTGAACTTGAACTTTTAGACTGGAGCAGCATCCATGATGGCAATTCGAATTCTTCTTGACCATGACGTTCCTGAGCAAAACATTATGCTCCTTTCTTTGTTGATGGCACAGTCAGGTAGTTAACAGCTAATTACATCATGCGTCTATACATACAAGGACTTAATTAATTGTAATATTTACTAGGAGTGCACTCAATTGCATATGCGTTCCCAAGAGTTAAGATCGTGACCACAGCAGTGGACCCTGAAATCAACTCATCGTTCCATGTTATTCCAGGAATTGGGAACTTCGGAGATCGATATTTTGGTTAGATTTTTAAACAGTTGCATGAATTATTACTTGTCTACTAATTACAACTTTGATGTACATGTTATAGGAACGGAGCCGTGCGGAAACGGAGCTGAATCCGACGACTGCATTGACGACTAGATGAAATATAGATAATCTCAAACAAACTTACGCCAGGGAATTTTATATTCTGTTCATTAAAATTTCGAATCTAACTTTCCATACTTCACCTGAATGACTGTGCCTGATATAAACGAAATTGTGACTGCGTTTAATTGAACCATTCTCAGATTTTAAACATTGGTCCTATATATTAATCAAATTTTACAATGATCAATTGGAGCAGTGTAGCCAATCTATTGCCAATAATTGGCATTCAATCAAATTGTCGTTTGCATGCTCTTTATGTCCTTATTTTGTACTCAAATCAAAGTTATTCAAATTAAAAGTGAGCACAGCTAAAACAATTTAAATCTGCAAGTTATGTCATTTTGATCTGCACGGAATCTGCAATAAAAGTTGCATCATGCATATCTCACCAACGTTGCATAACGTGGGAATGAGCAAACACGCCGGTTTAGGTTTATGCTCAAATCGCGAATATACCCAGCCTTTGCGTAATAATACGAGAGTTGTGCCGATGAGGGTAACGGGACACGTTTCGTCTGTAGTGCAGGCCTTGTTTGCAGCAGCTGCCAAGAAAAATTTCAACTTTCAAACCAACAGCACTTCATTGTTGTCACCACATCGATTTCTAAATCCGTTAGCATCTGGTTGTCTTTCGGTTCGAAGGAACTCGACAAATTCTGCTGCTCCTAGAAAATCCAAACTTCCGGAGAATTGGGGAACCAAGAAAAAATCAGTGATCGAAGAGTTCAAGAGCAAGAAGAAGAACAAGGACGTTATCTACATCATGGCAGACAATGCGGAAGAAATTTTGGCCCCATTGAGGGCATCAGTGAAGGAGCAGGTATAATTTGTAACTCTAATTAATTTACTATATCTAAACTAACAAAGGAAAAGACTTATTCTTATTTTTTGAAAAAGGGTGATCTCGTCCGGAAATTGAAGGAAATGGGTGAAGGTGAAATTGAAGTTAAAAAAGCTGTCGTCGAACTTAAAGCGAGGAAAAAGATCTTAGAAGATAAGGAACTTGAATTGACGCAAAAAGATGACGGATTTGATCGGATGAGAATGGAGGATTTATTGAAGAGACGATTCTTTTATGATCAATCTTTCGCAATTTATGGAGGTATTATTTTGTTGTACGATTAACAACCGATCGAGTTTTTATTAAAATTACCACGCATTTAAGGTGTCACTGGACAATACGACTTTGGACCTATGGGGTGTGCCACGAAAGCTAATCTTTTAAATTTCTGGCGACAATTTTTTGTCCTAGAGGTAAATCTTGCCTAATCTAATCATACTTATTATTTATTGTCAGTACTTGCATTACATAGATGAATGTGTTTTGTTCCTTGTAGGAAGGAATGTTGGAAGTCGACTGTAGCATCTTAACCCCGGAACCAGTCCTTAAAGCATCGGGTCATGTTGACCGTTTCGCTGATCTCATGGTGAAGGATGAGAAAAATGGAGAATGTTTCCGCCTTGATCATCTCATAAAAGCTACGGTTGAAAAGATTGAAAAAGAAAAAGGCACAACAGCCGAAACGAAAGGTAACTTAATTATTAGTTAATGCTTTTTTTACAATTTTGATTAGTTGAACAATTCAAAACTTATCAGCCATTTTATTGCTCAGATCGTATCAGCACTGTATTATCTCAATTGGATGGCTACAATAAAGATCAAATGGCCGGGCTCATGGCCGAGTTCAATGTCGTTAGTCCCGTTACCGGAAATCCACTTAGCCCCCCAATGGAGTTTAATCTAATGTTTTCTACCCAAATTGGTCCATCGGCAGCAGTGAAAGGTTTCCTTCGTCCGGAAACTGCTCAAGGCATATTTGTCAATTTTAAGCGTCTTTTGGAATTTTCTTCCGGAAAATTACCATTCGCTGCAGCACAGATCGGCAACGCCTTCAGGAATGAAATTTCTCCACGATCTGGACTATTACGTGTTAGAGAATTTACAATGGCTGAAATTGAACATTTTTGCGACTCGAGTAACATGAGTCATCCAAAATTTTGCGAAGTAAAGGATACTTTAATGACCCTTTACTCTGCTTGTGATCAAATGGATGGAAAGAAACCAAGTCAGATTACAATCTCGGAAGCAGTGGGCTCTGTAAGAAAATTAATTTGAAATAAAGTTAAAGAGGAGTTAGAAGAGTAAGCTAAGTCAATTTAATGTTCAATGTTTCAGGGTCTCGTTGCAAATGAAACTTTGGGATTCTTCCTTGTCAGAATCAAAATGTTTCTAGAGAAGGTTGGAGTTAATCCTGACAAGTTGCGATTCCGTCAACATCTTGGAAATGAAATGGCTCATTACGCAAGAGATTGTTGGGACGCTGAAATTCTGACCTCATACGGATGGGTAGAGTGCGTAGGTTGTGCTGATCGTTCTGCCTTTGATTTAAGCCAACATACAAAGGCCACCGGAGTAAAATTGATAGCTGAGAGGAGACTACCGGCTCCAAAGAAGGTGGAAATGATGCAAGCCAACTTGAACAAGGCCACAATTGGGAAAGCTTTCAAACAAAATGCAAAGGCGATTGCAGATTATTTCGCAAACGTTGACGAAGAAGAAATCAAGAAAATTAACGATAATTTGCTCTCTGCTGGGTAAATTTACTCACTTGTACACTAACATTAACATTTATCGAATGTCTGATGCATTTCCCAATTGTTTTTTTAGTTTTGTGGAAATTAAAATTGGTGAAAATTCCTTCAAAATTACTACAGAAGAATTGAAAATCGAGAAAGTTGAAAAGACTATCCATGTGGAAGAATTTGTTCCAAATGTAATTGAACCAAGTTTTGGAATTGGAAGGATCTTGTATTCTATCTTTGAACATAATTTCAAAACCAGAGCTGATGATGTTCAGCGAACGGTAAGTTGAACTGTTTAACTTCTTGAACTTTAATACATATATTCAATCGTATTGTTGGAACTTTGGTTATTTTTTTCTAGTACCTCTCGCTGCCTCCTGTTATTGCTCCCGTCAAATGTTCTGTGCTTCCATTAAGCAACAAGGCAGAATTACAAGCCAGAGTTGCAGAGGTCGTTCAGGAATTAAGAAAACGAGAAGTCTCTGTAAAAGTGGACGATTCTAGCGGTTCTATTGGTCGTCGGTATGAACAATTTACTTAAAAGTCTCGTAATTTAGAGTAATTAGTGCATAGTAATAAATATTTGCCTGAATTAGGTATGCTCGAACGGATGAAATTGCTATTCCCTTTGGAATCACAATTGACTTTGAAACGCTAAACAACTCCAGCGTTACCTTACGAGAACGAGACTCAACTCTTCAAGTTCGTCTTCCGGTATGACCATAATTAGAATTAAACTATAACAATATTGGTTCTAACACAAGTTTCTTACACCAGATTGACAAAGTTGGTGAAACTCTGCGTGATTTGTCTAATGGATCACTTAAGTGGACGGAAGTGATGCAAGTTTTTCCAAAGTTCGAGTCCCAAGAAGCATAATGACTTTCTCCTGTTTAAAGTATAATTTATTAAAGCTGAAATGTATGATGTAATCTACTACACAATAATTTTGACTCACAAAATTGTCATTAATTGATTAGATTTTATATTTGGGTTTAGATTTAAATTATTGAATTAAAATAAAATCCAACCTTCCTAATTATTCCACCTTCCTCAATGAGGAGCTACCTAAATAGCTCATTACATGGAAAATCAACTATTTTCTCATAATGAATTAAGTCAGGAATTTTTATTCTTACTTATAATTTGATTGTTGCATTGATTTCTACTACATGCATGTTCAACTACAAGACAATACAAGCGTGCGAAAGTGAAGATACGTTTAAAATTAATTAGCACCTTTAAATAGAAAGATTAGCATGAGAAATACTATAGAGTCCAAAATCAGATAGAATAATATTCATGGAATGCGTTACCAAAAACTGATGTCAATATCTGTATAATTCTGGTTCGTGAATAGTTGCTAGACCGTTCAAGGCGGACGTACCTTATTCAATCGTTCATCAATCTAAAACTAAAATCTTGTAAATTATACTTATTTGTCATTACGTCCGGCTTTTAGAAATAATTATGATACAATATTATCCAGATTCATGATTATAAAACTCAACACTATTCTTAATTACTTGAGTAAATGAAATTATGTATTCCAGATTTAGGGAGATGGTCAGGTATCTAGCGTATTCATATTTCTTTTCTTCAGCCTTAGCTTAGTTGGTTTTCTTGCTTGCTTCATCATACGTGGGCGGTGGGGCGGATGCAGATGCTGGAACAAACGCTTGGTTTCCATTAGCATAAGCATATCCATTTTGAGGTGGGTAAGCGAATCCAGCGGGAGGAGCTGCAGTCATCGGTGGTTGTTGAGGTGGATAAGCTGCATATTCTTGTTGCGGATAACCAAATCCATTGGCTGCAGGCGGTTGTTGGTAGTATTGTCCTTGTGGGGCCATTCCTGGATAAGGCGGTGGTGCATCATTGATGAAAATGGTTCCAGCCTGAGGAGCAGGAAAGTTATATGACGGAGGCATCCAACCATACATAGTCTGAGGAGCGCTGTAATAGTTTGGTGGTGCTTGATGATAAGCTCCCGGCGCAGTGGCTTGGGTGTAAGATGGAGGAGGATTATTCCATGCTGCACTTTGTGCATTCATTTGTTTCGCTATAAGAAAACACAATTGATTACTATGAGATTTATTTTGTTTGTATAAAATACTCAATTGTACGCACCGATTCTCATCGCCATAACCATTCCTTGGGCGAAATCAATAGCTCCGCCTGACTTAAAGACCATCTTGAACTTGGCTTCGCCTCTCCAACCTCCATCCGGTTGACTTCGAACTTTCCCCTTGAGGAAATTTGATCCAAACACGGGTTGCTCCACATCAACTTCGGACAAACAGACGAATGGGAATGAGAACGATTTGAATGAGGTTGACCCCTTTCCTACGAGAAAGATTAAGCGATGCGTCGTCAAGTAGGCCTAGAATAAATCAGTAAATATTCAGTCAGTTCGAGAAATAGTATTTAGTAATTTAACAGATTTGGTTTTATCTTTTATCATACTTACATTTCCAGACTTCTCTCCGAACTTTAGTTCGTCGTTTCCAGAAAATGAGATCTGCGAATTTGGAGCGTGCAATAGAATCCTAAAAAAATAATTGTAATGTATGTGAAACAAAATTTAGAAATATACGTTATAAATAACTAGAACTAGACTCACATTTCTCCTTGATGGATAAGCACACCACCCTCAAAATGGGCCGAATTCAGAGCCATTTTGACAAAACTTTCTTTGAATTAATTCCACGTTTTTTATGAAATTCAATTATTAATTATTAATGTCCTCCTATCGATTTGACTTCTGATAGACAAATAAATACAGTCAGTTTCTGCTTGTTATGGTGAATCAGAGGTCAGATGACGAAACAGTGGCGTATAACGTGACGCGTTGAACAGGTTAGGAATTTGTCACGTAGAAGTCTGCGCAGCTACGCCTTCATGAAATAGCAAACGTGTATTTATTTGGGTTCATTTTTTGGAGAAAGTTCTCCAGCTTTCCTTTCCTCGCATATCCGGATTGACTGAAGGCGGAAATGTTATGCAGCCTAGAACAATAATGCCAAGAAAAAATTGATGCTAAATTACTTCATGTCATTCGGATAAGTTGCTTATCCCTCTCTCAATCTAGACAATCGTTGACATAAATTCATAAATTTTGCTGACTGAATTAGACGACAGAAAAATTTGTCATGTTCTCTCGTTGCCCAGTTTGCGAAGATGAGACACTTTTCAAGCAGAGGGAACACCAAGCGAGACAGGCTTCCTTCCTCTCGTTTCGGTAAAAAGTACTTTCCAAATTTCCGGATGGATTTTTTGTAATTCTCTGGTTAAAATTTGTTAAAAAAATTTGCGGTTTTATAAAGTATATAGTAAAAGACAAAGTGTGCTTTATAAATAAGGGAAGGAATTTCACATTCCAGTTAATGTTCCATCTTCTCTTCTTCGACAAAGAAGACGACACAACCGGAACATTTTGATTAATTAATAATGTCACATCGCCAACATCATTTAGGAAGAGGTGGGAGGGCAAATCCAGTTGGTGCTGTTCCTCAAGCCCCGCCACCCCCAGTTCTCAGCAATAGTCGACAAGGTGGTCGCCCTTCCAGTAACAGGTATTACATAATGTAATGTACATTAAAGTTCCTAGTTGGGTTAATAATTATTACTAAATAATTATTTTCCTTGTCTTTAAATTAGGCGTTCCAGTAGATCTCGATCTCCACATGATCGTAGTAGAAGCAGTGGTGGAAATCGCTATGCAGGCCGACTTCCTGGTCGGGAAGAAGCAGAGAGAGCAAGAGGAAGACCGATGAGGCAATCTCGCAGTCGTAGCTCGAGTCCTATCGCCAGGTACGACGATAATGCACATAATTGTAATTGATAATACGAAGATTTCAATGTAGTACATTTAATATGTTGTATTTAGTAATTCTATCAACGTACCCAGCACTGCTGCTTATCGCGGAATTAAAAGTTCACTACCACACAGTGTTTTAAATCATTCTCTTCCACCACCAATTAAACAACAATCCATCAGTCTTATAACAGAAGACGGAACGTTCCCTATAATTCGTCGTATTCTAGATCCCGATGATGTTAAGATTCCTCGAAGGAGGTACAAATTTGGCTTTTTTTGTACACAATTAATCAAGAACAACTAATAATAATACTGAGTTATTACAGTGGGGAAGGTGCGAGACCAATTTTTGAAAGAGACGAACTCAAGGAAGGGATGCGTCGTAGATTTGCCTCAGATGGTGACGAAGGTCACAATAGAAGTCCTCCAGTTTTGCAACACCCTTCCCAACGAGTGATGATTATTCATGACCCAACTGCTTCCAATAGAGGTGATTCGTTCAGACTGCCACCAGTTGTGACCAAAGACTTGGAGTTTAGAGGATCAAGAAATCTTCAACCCATCACGACATCAGGTCAACATCGCGATTTCCGACCTTCAAATTACCAGCATCGTTCCATGTCACCACCATCCCGGGATAGAGACATGCGTGGTGAAAGAGGACCATCTTCAGTAATGCGTCGTGGTGATAGAAGTCGGGATATTATTACTGTTAGAGGGGAACGCATCCGAGAGGAAGGGTTACATCCACCACACATACGGTCCAGATCTAAAGACCGAACAGAACGACCATCGCACCATTCACGCAGTCCTGTTAGAGTTTTAAGAGACCGAGAGAGAGTGTCCAGAAGCCTCTCTCGAACCCCACCGCCAATGCCACCAGAGATGCGTAGGCGAATGATTGAACGAGAAAGAGATTTAAGGAGTAAATTATCCCGTCCGGCTGGAAGGTTTCCAGCAAAATTTGACACAAATGCAAGTGTTCTTTCACTCAAATAAAATATAATTCATTATCACTTATCAGGTACAAAGAATTTTGGACGGATAAAAACTTATTATAATTTATACATTTTTAGCAGCACGACAGTCGTATTGGGGAACCATCATCTAGTTCTTTCCGTGGCAGAGGCAGAGGGTTCCTTCGAGGAGGACGAGGGGGCTTCCGAGGTAGGAATCCTCGATGATACTGAGCTTTACTTGAAACAAGAAAGCACGACATTATCCTTCAGCACTATTGCTTTCTCTACATAAATACTCATTGTACTAAAGCTACAGAGCATATTGTCGTTGAAGATGCAAACGGGCTAACCGGAGTTTTTGCAACTCTTCCATGTTAAACGTATAAGAAATTTAATGACCAAAAAATCCGAGTGGCTCTTTTTGTATCTTCAACGATAACTTGTCGTTAAGTACATATTTCATCTTTAATTTTCTTTTTGGGATGTCGGGTTAATAGCATAGGGCCGTATTTTGTTTAAATATCTGCAACAACTTGAGGCATTTAACAATTTGCTTTATCTATATATGGCCTTAAGCTATTTTGTTATATTTTTTTTTAATCTCGCTCAAATCTTATGTTCATTATTGCGTACATACTTTAATTATATTCAGTACTGACACCTTATTGTTATACACGTAGAGGAGAATCGATCCCGTGGACACACGTGGGAACATGACCTTTTTGAAAGAGAGGACAATTTGGATGCAGATTTAAAATCAAGTAAAGTTTAACCCTTCCTGTTTCCCTCCGCCTTTCAAGCTGTATGTCAAACATGTCAAGTCAACTTGCTACCACGAACATTCAGCTCAAACGTTAACGTCATAATTATTCGATGAAGTCTAGCAATTTCTACTTGTATGCATGACGTGTGAAGTCTGATTATACTATGAATGCAAAGGTTCCCTAATAATTGTTAATTGTTGCTAAAATGTTGTTTCAGTATGATATTTTATTCTGTAAAATCTAGCTAAGTATTTTAATTCTACATATTATTAGAGATTACGATGTTGTTTTAAAATAGAATATAGAGATTAGTTTATTGTGTTCAGACGCTAGAGTAGAGTTGTTGGTAAAGTTCGGAAGTATTCTAGGGTTGTTTTTGTAATTAAGGTGTTTGTAATGGTTTCAAAGATTTGCAAATAAAGACTAATACAAGTATATTAGAACATTAAAATGTTAAGCGAGCGTACTTTAATTTTCCATGTATTTTTTTATCATTGGAGGATGCAGTCACCCGCTTTTACTCGTTCGAAGAGAAAGTTTGTATCCAGGTTTCCATGCAACCGATGATATACACATAACTAACCTGGAAACTTAGCCGTCGCTGTGCATGCGTGGGTTTGGAGTTTGGGTTCCTCTCGTCTTAAAATAAACTGGAATCTGAAATTTTAACAAATCCACCAAACATATTTCCATCAATCAGTTAACTTTCGAAAAGTAATGGATGACTTTGAAGCACCTGGTGAGCCATATAAAGATCAATTAAGGGAAATTGTTCTCCGCATTTCACATACCTAGACTTTAAATGTTCAATAATTTAAAATTTCTTCAGGCCTTCTGTACCGACCATTCGAATTGATGCAAGACTTGTACGAGAAGCTGATTGTTTTAAAGTACCACGAGGAATGCGTCAAGATGTCCATTTCCAAAATTCGCCCCATCCACAGTCTCTACTTTATAACCCCGATGAATCCTGGCGAGCAGTACTACAATTTTGTAACGATTGCTTCGTGGCTTATTAAAAAGAGCAACAGGGTTATCAACATGCCTCAAGAAACAGACGATCCAAATATGGTCATTTCCAGGATTCTGGAGCATATTCGTCAAATGGTACATGCATTTAATTAGGATTCACATTTAAGTTTTAAAATTAATATCCTAAATTTACAATTTACATCTACTTTAATAGGGTGGAAAAATAGACTATGGTCCAAGTAAAGTAAAGGCTGGTTATGGGCCGGAAGTCATCTCTGCATTATCCTTTTTAGCAGTTGCAGCAATGAAAGAAAACCGCATCGAGTGGGATGAGTGAGTACGCTTGCTAAAATGAACTCGGATAACATTTCCAAGTGCATGCATTTAAATTATGTTCTTCATTTCTTCTAAAGAATCAATAAAGATGACTTGAGCGATGGAGAGGACGAAGTAGTCATCATGGAAGAACAAGAAGTAAACTTGGATAAGATTGAAGAGGAGATGGAACAAATTTATAGCAGTGATGAGGATGATGACGCTGGAGGATGGGTGCAACATTCCAGTAATGCAGATATTGGGCAAACGGTAATTTCTACATAATTCATACACAAACCGTGATAAAATAAAATACTTCAACTTTAAATAGGACGAGCAACAAAAAATGCTTAAGTCTGACGTGGATGTTGAAGCGTGGCGATTAGAGTTGGAAAGAGTCCTCCCACAGCTCAAAATTACAGTGAAAACAGGTAAATCAAAATAGCTGAACACAACTTTTCCTGCAGTTTATAAATAAATACAAATATTTGCAGATGGTCAAGATTGGAGGTGGCGACAAGAACAAATGAAAACCCATATTACAGGAATTAGCGACACTGTGAACCAGATTGATGGTCCTTTGAAAAGACTCGTTTCTGAGGCTCAGTCCATGTCGGAAAAAGTTTTAAGTCGTGAAACCTTCCTAAACAATCAGTTTACAGGGTTGCTGGATGAGCTTCATCAATCACAAGTATGCAATTTTATGATACGTCAAAAACATGGGTAACTTTAATCAAAACTTGTCTGTAGGAAAAGCTCTCAAAAATGAAGGACGTTCATAGAGATCTAAGCATAAAAATATCCGAAAAGAACAAAGGGCTAGCCCATTTAAATGAAGAATTAGATCAAACTCGACGCGAGCTTGACGACAGAGGTTTAATCATGGCGGATGGAGGTTAGTTCTAATAAATTCTAATCACAATACAATACCAAAGTTTCATGTTCCTTTTAAAAAATCACAGCTCCCGTCGTTACAACGCGAAAGACTCTGAACGGGATAAAGAAAGAACTTGGTGATATGGAAGTTGAAATTGGTGTTATGGAACATAGTTTAATGAAGTCGCTAGTCCAAGAACAAATGATTCTCAGGGACAGAAATAAATTTTAGAAGGAATATTTAGTTCGTGTTACAAGACAACACTTGTTTTTATTACAATTTATAATTACTTAAATTATGAAAGATTTTTTTTGCATTAATTTGACTAATTGAATAGACAATGGATACCAAAATTAATTTTAAGAAGGAGGTGGAACTACTAAATATGTGAGTGAATACATGTACGTACCAAAATACAAAGCGGACAAAAACAAAAGTGAGACTGTAGAAAAGTTTGAAATCGAGACAAAAATAAGTACGTGAAGGGAATCGTGGGAGGGTTTCATTATACACATTTAGCTAAACTTGCACTTGGAAAAATCCATTTCTGGGTGAGCTCCCATGAATTTTTTCAACATTTCCTGCTTTTTCTCCTCTTCCGAAGTAGGCAACCCCATTTCCTTTCGCCTTTGATCATACATCATTTTCTCCACCATGGAACGTGTCTCTCCATCCAGATCAGACAATTTTGAAGGCTCGGGATTAACTTTGCGAGTGTTAAGTTCTGGATCTGTCATCACGAGGCGATTCCACCATTCCATCTTGTTCACTTTCTCCAGAGTTATGAAAATTACTTTGCGATCTTCTAAAACCCAGGTGGACTCTTCAACCTTGATTTCATTAAACGTCTCTGCATCAATTATTGGAGGTTGGTTCTTCAGTCCGACGGTCAAGTGTCGTTTCTTAAATTCAATTTTAACATCTCCAGATTTCAAGTTGATCTTCAAGGGGATTCGCAACTGAAATAAGAAATTTATAAATGTAAAGCATAATTCATGTATGGATCAATGTACGTGACTTTGTTCACGTATTGAAATTGAGAAAGATTTCAAACGTCATGTTTGTGTTTATGGTTTGTAAGTTGTCTATTAAAACTACCCAATTTTTTTGGCCGGTGGCAAGAAATTCAACGCTAATATGCAATGAAAACAACAATAATTACTTGAAAATAAAATCAGTAAACTTATGATTTTAAATTACAGAGTGTACGTATTATTAAGTCTTAAGAAAGTGCAAGTGTCAGAATAGAGGTAAATATTTGGAGGAAACGCATTACAGTGGAGGCCTTATTTGTTTTTCATCCTCACAAGTAATTCTTCGCCCACCATTCGAACTTGCAAAACCTATTTACAGTGAAGACTTGACATAGCCCGAGCCAGTTATTTCTGTAATTTTTGCATTTTTATTAAACCACGTGTCAACTGATGAGCCTCTACTAATGCAATCATGTAAATCAAGTTAGGCTCCTGTCTATTACAAATTTTAAAAACCTGGAGGCTTAACCATTTCATTTTCTGCATGTTTTTCTTAATTACTTCAATAACTCCAACCGGTCAACTATTTACATATGCCTATCAGCTATCTTCCTATATTCGTTGAAATGCATATTTAATCACTAATTACACTTAGGATTAATCAACGTAGATTAAAAATAGTTTCTATTTTGCGTGTTACAGACAAATGGATATGACCATTCTATAAGCCCTTGCTCAGGCAAAAAACTGACATAACTCTAAAAGAAATAGCAAAAACCATGCTACATAACTGACACAATAATAGCTACATAACACTTGCCATTTGAGCTTTATTAGATTGAAGGCTAATTTCACGGTGCTTAATTTAATCTGTACAAAAATGGAGTATTTGTTTTAATAAAAAATGACCGGAAGGCCAACGATAAAACCCATGTCAAAATTACTAATACTTGACCATAAACTTGTGCTTCCGTCTAATATTTTTTCTGTCAATCATCTTTCAAATAAATAAAAGAGCTTAAATAAAACCTTATACATACTTTCTAAACCCACAAACGTAAAATAACCCAAGACCTAAAATAGCAAGGTATAAATTATTGTGCAACACTAGGAACTAATATATTCCACTCGGAATGTGTATTTGCATTGGAACTCATCTCATTAGCCACGCCAAAACGCTTTTTCAACTATTAAATGTAACTTCTCAGCTATTTATGTAACAAAGTTTATGCATGTATATAATTCCTTAAGCAAAGAAAGACGGATGCAGAGAAAAATGTCAAGGTGAGCTTGCACGATGACCGAATGACTGATGATGGACAATAATCTGACAACTCCACGCATAAGAAGACAAAAGTGTCGTAAAACATGATTGGAAAAGTACTAGTGAGGAAATCAAGTCAGAAGATTTTTGATGACAGGTAGTTTTATTTATTTATCAGAAGAAGAATTTGGTTTTCAACGTTTCCAATCGCAAAACATTTAGTATTATTACGTCACATTATTACGCGTATTTTGGTGTCCCTCTACCCACCTCATCATTATTACTCACTAATTTGCATTGATTATCCTTCGGAATTTTTCACTTGAAAAATTAACAGGCTCTCAAACATTTGATAAAGTTATTAGAAAAGTGTCGATGATGGATGTCGAAGGATTTGTTAAGTCCAGGCGCCAGAGATGAAAGGCTTCTTATCATCTTATTACAAACCTACTAGGTACGTGTCCAGTCCCTTGCCAAACAAGTAATGCGATACCAAGAACAACTAGAAGAAACATTACATTCCCTCAAATTAGCAGACGATAAGAACAATGATTTATTATCCAAATACGATAAAAGGACATTGAAGTAGCGCGTCTGCCTTGTCTGCATAAAATTTGAACCATCGTGTTTTATTGTGCAAACAATTATATGCATTATGCACCTTCATTAATCAACATTATGCGAAAATCATTACCATTGTCATAATTACCATGCGTTTATATATTTGCATGGTTCAACGTCATCTTTTATTCTAAACGGTGCAAAAGTTGCATCACACATGAATTTATGATATAAGAAGAAGTAAATGCATGCACTGTGGCCTATGCATACTCGCAAGAAGCCAAAGTCAATAGGGTGAAGATGAAGATGACTACTAAACGACCGACGACCACAATTTTATACTCGTCATATACTTATCTACGTGTAGCCGTATTATCGTAAGAAGAAGATATGTATGCATATCGTTATCATTTAATAAAGATTTAGTGAAGAATGTCAGTATGACAATAAAGCTATAAATTTGGCAAAGGGATGATGTTTAAGACGAAAGTAAAATCGTAGTCAACCTTGCCATTTATTTGCCAACTTTGAATGGGATAAGTCACTTGAATGATTATGTTTTTGTTACTGTTACATTGTCGTCTTGGTCAAATTGGCTGTGAGACAGGAGACGAGGAGAGGGAGGATTTTTCGTAGTGAATGAATGCAAAAGATTTACTTATACAGAAGAGAGGAGGAGGTGAAGACGAAGAAGAAGAATTGAGCAATAATTTACACCTTTGCGCCAATAGCTAAATCAAATTGACTCCGAGCGAAGATAAATGTCGAAGCCACCTATTTCATCTCGGTCGCGGTCAACACTAACAATGAGAAATACGTCATTCGCAACATTGGACGTTTCTTATACAGCAGATAATGGAGCTAATGGAAGAGTAAATGTACATACTTATTTATGCATGTCGATACATTCTGAGTTGAAAATATTCTTAGCACGCTTGATTTAAGGGTACATACACTGCTGCTACGGCTGAATAGTTGAAACGACCCGTGCTTATTTGCAGTTATATAAATACATAAGTAAGCGTTATGGTTCAATGCCACCAGTGTTACATGTCCCATTACATTACAGAGTCGGACAAATCCACAATTTACCTCAATCCCTTAGGCGATTATTACCTATGCATAAGAGCATAATAATTTAAATTTCGACATTCGCCAAACTTAATTCTCTTATAACTGCTGACATCCCAATGTGCATAAAACACTCTATCCAAATCCAGTCGTTGCTGCTGTAATCCACTTTAAACTTTAAATTGTGCAGCTCCTTAGTGTTAAACATGCTATGAAATTTTGTCATTTAGTTCAACTGAAGAAATCTGTTTTCGCATCGTTTCATAAATAAGAAATACGCCAACAAACAATTTTTTATATGAATTTACACGTGATATAACAATTAAGGTTTAATGGGCTATTGGTTTATTAGTCCTATCATCGTAATAATGATGTCTTGGGGTAGTTGAACTACCTGTCGTAAATTATTTAGCGAACGTGTCGAAATTCCTTGATTTCCTAACAATATTAAATTCAGCATGATTTTTTTTAACTGTCAATACCCCGCATTTTTGTTTTGGAATTTGGAATTAATCGACCAATGTTAAGGGCGTCCAATTGACCACCTTGCCCTAAAATTGCAGGAAGAATGGAACCTTTTAGTGGGAAGAAAACTTGCTCAGACTAGAACACACCGGATAATTTACAAATCCTATGACGCAGGAAGCTCAGCGAAAGTATATGCATACCCTTTTTCACAGAAAGTACCCTTCTACCTTTTGTATACGTGATTCTTTTCGTAATTGAAAATGCTGAAGGTGAAGGCAAACGCAAGTCCGAGACGGCAACCAGTATACGATAAAGGGCTCGTCTTTATGAGATTCAGCATGTTGAAATATATGCATAAAAGTTGTAAATTATTGGTCCACTATTATTCATCATAGTCAGGCAGGAGTTTCAACAGAAGTTAGTCACGGCCTTGACCCCCTGCAATATCAACAAATGCGTAACGTTGTAACGTTGGTGAGACGGATGTATGGACGAGAAATACATATGTATAGATCCATCTTGTGATTAGATTAAAGCTGTAAATTACATTTATACTTTATCTAATGATACCTTTGTACTCTGTACGTAATTGATTTAATTGAGCAACATGCGTAATGGAAAGAAACACCTACAAATGCGTAGAACAAAAAACAAATTCATTACCAATTTACAAATCTATTTATCTTTCCACTACCAACCAACCACTTTATTGTTGTTACATCCAGAACTAACTAGATTTTTGTCACCGGCATGCCGTTGATAATTCTTGTTTAATTTGGGTACACATGTTAAATATGTTTTATTTCGTAATTTGATTCGATTGCAGTTGTGATGTGATGTCATTTTTGGGGTACGCGATGGATATTGTGTACCATTTAAATTTCGAATTAGGACAAAAACAATAAATGTACATTGGCAAAAGAATCGATTAATTTTTCACAGTCACCAAAATCAGAATGGGTATGTATGCCCTTCTAGGAAGTTATGACTTTTGTATGTACGTGTTTCTTATGATCAGTACAATACCTCCCATTGTTTGCAGATTATTAAGAGGTGAGCTAACTCGATTAGTGTGAGATCATCTAATTTCAGGTAGAAATCAGAGTACATAATGGCATCTGCATAATTTAGCTTAACCATGTGGGTGACAATATTGCCTAACTACCTTCTAATTGTCTCCTGGCCAGTCCTACTGCCCAGCACTTAAATTATTAGTTGGGGATGGCCGGCGACTGAGGAGGAGTGACGTAACAATGAAAGATGATTCATTCATGACACTGCATATTTGGGCAAGTCTTCCCCTAAAACCTACATCTTTTACATAAAAAATAGTTTCACAAGGGATGATGATGACGATAATGATAGCCCATCCACCTTTTAATTCTGTTTACTTTACGTATCACGAATGATCATAATGTGCATTTTTTCCCTCAAATTCTTGTCCATCAATTTCATTTCATTACAATAATAATTACTCCACGTTTGGACTTGCACTTGTAAAATTCCTCAGGTAAAAAAATTCCCAAATATTGGTCTGGGTCAAGCTCACGCAACTCGACCTATATCAACAATAATTATTTTACTCGCACCTTTGAAACGCCTTTTTTGTAGCTGCAGTGAAGATTCATTCCCCTCTGACTGATTAAGCATATCGCGCAGTGACAGGACCCTTTCGTAACATGTGGTTTGTTGCGTAAGTTACAACGCTAATTTAATTATTGGCTAGCCGGCCAGTAGTAGATACTTCAAGTTTCTTTACTGGCCGCACCGCTCCATCATCATGAATGACACAACAATATGTTCCCAGCGCCCTTCATGAGTGCTTTTATTATTGTTTGAATAAAAGAATGAAGATTCGCTAATTATTCAATTTCAACACCACGCCACTGATTGTATGGACTTCTTGGGTGTGGGGAGAATGCCGGTTGATTGATAATAAAAATAGAATAAAAGTAGAACATGTGGCAGACAGGTCACTATCGATCATTGTCTTAAATGATTTGACATTTAACAATACAAACAAACGTGTGTGTTGTAAAAAAAAGTCTGGTAAAACTGGGATAAAATTGTTTACTACAGCTCAACTTTGTTAATAAGTTTTGTATGTTTTTCAGGTTAATTCCTAATTAAACCCAATCTTATCATAGTTGAGTTGATTATGTACAATTTTTAAGAAAAATAGCACAATATTCTGCCAATCATTTGCAAAGTACATCTCACTTATTGCCCTCTAACCTTAACCTAAACCACTGAACTGTTTCATTTCACATCATTTCCCTTTTACAAATACAAACTTACAGTTAGAAAAGATGAAATTATGTCAATACACAGACCAACTATGTACAACTACATCCCAACTAATCAACAACAAAGGAAATGCAACCTTTGATCTCAAATGGTTTACGGTTTACTTACGATGAGACGATGGAAGTTGCACTTCGTCTCAAAGGGGTCGGAACGGTTTCAAACCTCAATTCAAGGCACAAATATTCTAATTTTCATAACGAGACCCTTCAGTCTCTCGTAAGAAGAGTTCAGGTACACATTCATTCAGAGGAATATTTCTAACAACTAAAAACCAAAGATTAAACATGTTGTAGTTGTGCAGGTATAAAGTAAATGCTTAACCGATTTCTAAATATGTTTAAAAGGTGACAAAAATGTGACAAAGTTCAACTCTAAAAAAAGTTTACAATTAAAAAAAAGGCTGGGATTCCCGGAATCCCGATCACGCCCAGTGTCCTGAACTTATTCTCAGGAATTCTAAATTAAGCCATGGCTAGACGAGATGGTCATGTATTGTGTTTTTTAAACTAATAAGGTAGTAACAACCCAGGATGGACGGATTTTCCACCACGACACGATGACGTGACAGACATAAATACATTGATTGAATGTATAAAGTGAGACAGTCATTTCGTCGTGGTCGCATCATCCTTACATTTCTCTCCTAATTTATCATAAAGAAAGACATGTATAACACCACCACATAGATAATTTTCGTCATTCTTCACGACTCAAAACTCGAGATTTATTATGAAAATTTACCACCCAATAGTAATAACCTAAGCGGTATTGTCTGTGTCTAATGTGTGTATGTGCAGTTTACTTACTTGCATCACTAATTTGGATGCATTAAGATTCTGAGAATCTGCATAAGTTGAAACGTGCCCACTACACACACTCACCTGTGTCACAATCGACTTTTCAAGAAGTTAAAATTCAAATTAAGTTATCCTCAAAACTCGTGAACTACTCGCTTACCTTACCAATTATTCAACAGCCGTAAATAGACGGACACGAAAAATATGTACAACAACACAAGTCAAAATGTCAATGTAGTACAACGCACAGAGCTGCATTATCCCACAGTACAATGAAGTAAATACATTAAAACCTCCAGAAATTCGTGTCAAGAGTGATTTGATCACGAACCAAGAAGAAGACGAAGAAGAAGAAAGACAACAAATAGGATTTTATCTCGAAGGGATTATATTGTTCAGTTAGTGCCAATTCAAGTTTTTTAAAATGCCGTCAAGACCTTTGCCACCAGTGGTAACTTCGGATTCGGACGGATTTTCCTATATTCAGGTAGAATTTTATACTATTTTTTGTGCGGAAGCATGTAATCAATTCTTGTATTTTATGCCATCATCAAGACAATCCACTTTATTAACTCTGCGTTATTATTTGTCTGCCGTACGTCTGTCTGAAGTGGTAGACTATCAACAACAACACGTAATAAATAAATAATATGTATCTCTATCCAAGTACTTGAAAAGATGCCATTTTTACTCCAATAACAAATCAAAAGATATAACATATCAAAGAAACGTACGTATTCATTTGCGTGCACACAGGGATAATCAAGTACATATCCTTCAAACTTATATAGAATGAGCAAATAAATATTCCATAAAATCTTGAATTGGAAATTCAGTCGAATGAATTCAAGGGGATGCTATATAAATGAAATGAAGTGCAAGCAGAAAGAAAGAACAGCACATTATTCACATTCCCATAAAATTGAATGAAATCAACAACAATCAAAAAATCAAGGGACGACGATCGACGAATGCCACTATCACACATGCGATAATAATAGGCAGCGTGGTACAATAGTGATGATAGGTATTCAAGCCTTACTATTATTAGTCTTGCTATTTTACGGCGTTATCCCATTTACTTTCCCATTTCTATAATAAACATACCTAATAACGTGCCATTCCAAAGAAGCGTTGGCAAGGAGGGACGTGCATAAAAACACCAATTATACATTCCACGTAGACAGACATTCAATTTCGATTTTTTTAAAGTTTCCTTTCAAAAGGGAGCTACATACTTAAATACTTACGTATTTACATGGCAAGGTTTCTTGTTTATTAATTCACTACTATTGCGTATAAGAAGTTGGGAATGTTAACCACTTGTCACTAATGCATACGTATTAAAGAGTGATGATTAAAATAAACGGTCGAAGGGAAGAGGGGACTTTGAGAAAATTGGCTATTTTTAACTACTCTATTCCATCCCAAATGGCTAGTTCAAAATCAAATCTCATTATCTGGGCCATAAAACGAGCAGAAAAACAACATCAATTTCATCAGAGTCAAGATCAATTGAATCCTATGCATCAAGAAAGACTGAGATGCAGACCGCCGCTGTGGTAGCGTTGCTCTTATTATTACGAGAACAATTAGGAAGATTTATATGGATTGCTTTACACAAAAAGTCCCCCTCAATAATATCACTCACCACACAATCAATCATTCCATCAGATTAATCAAGTCAACCCTGTGATCGGTGTAACGTTATGTGTTTTGATATCGTAAACTGTTCTAGCCTATAGCTTTCTCGAATTGATTCACTCACATATCACGCCAAACTAGTTTGATTGATAACTGTGTACCTAAAAGTATGTGAGATTGAGCCCTTTGATTGTTACAAGGTGTGTTACATCACATCCAAATATTTATTTCATTCAAAAATTTCGAGAAAAGTGCCTCCCATGAATGTATGTATGCATGTACATTTACATACTCCTGTCCTGTTACTGTTCGGACATATAGATTACAAACTATTTAAGAATAATTGCACGTAAAGATAAAACGCGCTTACATATCTAGACAATTATTTAGCGAGACAGTTTAAATTCAGTCCGAGTAGTAAGTAGTAGCCCAACTAAATGATTAATTTGCTACTCTGCTCTATTACAACAGTCATAAATAAATGCTAGATAATAACATTTATTTCGTAATTTGGGCTTAATGAGAGCAAAATGATGAAGTAACATGAATGACAAGTGCGCGCACCTTGTCCAGTCCAGAGTCTGGTTAATCCGGGATTACGGATTGAGGATTGAGATTGGGATTGGGGATTAATTAATCCTTAATCCCAATCCTCAATCCGCAAGTTTTGACTTTTAATCCCTAATCCTCAATCCCAAAAAGTTTTGAAAAAATAATTAATCTCTAATCCTAATCCCGGAGCGCATTGATTAATCTTAATCCAAGTTTGGGATTAAAATGGGATTAAATCAGCTCCACCTGCTGAAAATTCTCAGAGACTTTGCCAGTTCTCCTTTTGTTTCAATTAAAAATATGTTTCCCATAAGTTATGGGCCATAACTATCGAAATTCCATCGTTGTATTTCACAAACAAAAATTCGATATTATTAAACAAATAGTTCATGTATTTAAAAACATTTGATAAGACTTCATCTGTTAAAGTTGATTTTAGTTCACTGATGACTAAGTAAACTTATTTTATGTCACTCATCTGTACACTTCATATTCTTGTGGCCGTATAATAATAACCTAGAGTGGCCAGTGGTAATGCCCACTCATTCACACTTGAATGTTAATCAAATGGAGACTGGACTTAAGTCACTTAAGCGACAACTCACACTTTAGGTCATTATTTATATGGTCATTAGGTTATTCAAATTCAATCGCACTGTTAAGACTTATAAAACAATTTAATTAAGACATCAGAAACATTAACTAGATATAAATGTGATCGACGATAAACACGACTTTAATCCCATTCCGGGATTAAAATCGGACTAAATTAATCCTAATCCCTAATCCCATTGAATGACTTGAGAGATTTAATCCCGAATTAATTTTAATCCCGAGTTAATTTAATCCCTAATCTCAATCCTCAATCCCGAATTTTTTAAAATCAATCCGTAATCCTAATCATTAATCCCACTTTCGTTAAGCCCAAGACTCTGGTCCAGTCAAACTCATCAAAGAGAATACAATGGGCTCGGTCAAACAAAATCTAACGGTGATTTGAGTAGATATTTAGATCTTAGATAAATAAATAAATCTCCGTTATTGTTACTTAACCAAGCTTAAGTTTAATATACGTACGTACAGATATGCACAACTATGTTTCAAAAGTATGCTTGTTATATAATTAGCCACCACATTACGTGCGATCATCACACCTCCTCCTACATAAATACATAAATACTTACTTTTGGCGATATCGTAGTGTGCCGTATTAAATATTGTATCTAAAGGGAACGTTCAAAAATTATTACATTTTGCCTGTTTGCATGGGCTGGATGTAACCAAATGTTTAATACAAAGTTAGGATAATTGATACTTCATACATAGTAATACTATGTCTTGCAAGGTATAAAATTAATAAAGTGCCAAGACTTGTGTCAAGTGTGTCATTGTACTGCAAAAGCTGTACATAGTAAGTTATTGAATGTTATGAGAGAGGTGCATGTGTGCAGAAAACAAGTGCATAATGCTGTACAAGCTCTCTGCTAGAGTAATCTTATTGCACCTCATGATTTAATCCACATACATACAACAACGCCGTCTCAGTCAGTGTGGTCGCGTGGTCTGAAGCGTTGCGTTGCGTTACGTTACGTTACGACAATCAGCGTACTGCATGAGACAATATTTATTACAATGTTCAATAATTTGCTGACATTTGCTAAAGTACGAAAGTGAATTTTGTTGCAGTTCTCGTTCGCAAATGTTAAAAAATAATAAAGCATAAAAGTCTCATGCATTAAACAACGTGGCTGTTTTATTGTGAAACATTGTTGTTGAAAATTTAAGTAGTGGAATCAAGACTGAGAAAAAGCTGATTGTCTGTACGAAGCGCAATTTGGATCTGAACAAAGGTATCGTATGTGAAACTTTAAAAATCGGATCGTTTTTTTTTGCCTTGCATATTTTTTAACTTCCTAAATATTTATATGCGCTAAATGAGTTTCTATTATATTATTCGGCTGTATGAACGAACACCCATGAAATGCAATTTAATGTCGACGGCGACGTCGCGTCCCATTGAATTCAAATTCATTGCCATATTTTGAAATAAATGTCATTAACAATATAAAGATTTCTTTCTTCTTTTGTCCAAAATCAAAGACATCACAGTCCTCAACTACATTGCACAGTGGAGTCAATCAGTCAACTGATAAATAATAAATATTCACATCACAACCAGTCAATAGCCTTTAATTCAATTCTATTATGCAATGTGTATGGATTTATTTACTTAAACAAATCAAGCACCTACCAGTACAATATCGAGCTAATGAAAAGTATAAGCAGCAAACAAAACAACTTCTTTCCAATATATTACAACGGCAAACTAATACCTATTTTAAATGTATTTATTCAATTTCCTTCAAATCAAGGTGGATATAATAATGTGAACATGCAGCAAAACTATACGTACCATGTTTTTTGATGACTATGAACAAAACTTGTTCTTTGTCATTGCAGGCAGACAAATAATAATTCGCAGTCAATCAGTCAGCTCAACACATAGGCTGTCAATATGTACTTCGTTTTATTGTAAACTATAAAAATATTGGGGGTTATTTTAAAAAAATATGAGTCGGGCGTATTTTTTTTTAATTTAAGAAAAATTTGAACGATGGACTTGTAGTAATCTGCAAATGTTTTGAAATTTTCGTGTATATCCATTTTCGCATGGTTCACTTAAAATTCGTCGACTTTGAATAATTCAGACAGCCCGTTGTATTTACGTGAGTAAGCAAACGTGCCAAGCTTTATTTTGCAATTAGCCCTGATTAAATTATATGTACTTTGTCTTATAGAGGCTCAAGTTGACAAATGACACAATTGCTCACGACCAGAAATTTGCATGCTCTTAAATCCACATCTCTTTGAATTCTCTGCTCCTTTACTGGCCTCAGCGAAAAAAAAGAAAGAAATCATGACAGTAATTTTAGCATTGAACATTATTGAACTCAATTAACAAACTTCATCGACAGGACAAAAGCTCACACTATTCTTAAAACTATTTACTACTGGGTTACACGTTAAACACCTTGAATTAAGAAAAACAATTACAAATCAGTGATTCTAATGCGAAGAAAGAAGAAACTAGTGCAGTTTCAAATTCATCGTGATACATAAAAGGCAAGGGCAACTTTTATTTGGTCTGATTGCCAAAATAAGTAAGACTTTGATCAGAAAAGTAGCTATTTCCGATAATTGAGTGAGTCCGACGTTTGTTCCAACATTTCATGCTCGTGCGAATTCCATTCGAGTAACAAAAACACTGCGAGACATGAATTCACCATGAATTTAAATCGCTGTAAATATATTTATTTATAAGGGCTAAACAAACACACGTGTATAGTTAATTATTTATTCTACGTGCATCTCTTGTAAAATTTTTGTTGAAACTCGACCAAAATTAAATTAACCTCTCTCTAAAGATAGAATAAGAACGGTTCCAAAAATACATAAAAGGAAGTAACCTTTCCTCATGAATTATTGACAAGTTGACAAAGCGACCAGTGTGTCAGTCTTTCATGGTCTGCTAATAATAATCATCATTCATAATGGGATGATCGTTAGGCAGACAAAGTATGTAACACCAACCAAGTACCAAAATAGATAATTGATTATCGCCGCCGAGAATAATATTTCTATTTCTGTCTTTTTTTTTACGAAATAAAGTAAATTGTGCACTTCCTCCTCTTTACGCTTGAATAGAGGTGTCATTATGCAGGGATTTGTACAGACTGGTATATTTTTATGCGCCAATAAATATGCCACCTTTCCATTGTTGAGGAATCGATCAACCTCAACAATACAAATGTTGAGGAGGCAATGTAATAGTAAAATCTTAAACATTTCTGTGACGTCAATAACAAGTCAACTCAATTTGTGGTCTTAAGGACAAATACTCATGTCATGCTGCTAATTTGAGAGAGGTAACTTCGCCCAGGATTCCCTTGTACAGTGCAAAATCCAACAAAATGAATGAGTAGTACTTGACTCGTTTTATAATTTTCTGGGCAATCTTCTTATTGACAATGGGATGAAGTGGGCAAAGGTATGTGCACTCTGGCTGAATGCAAATACACAAATAATCTGTTGGGCACGAGCCACATTAAATTATTAATGAAGTTGTCAAGTTCAATTGACTCTTGTCTTAACAATTATCAAAGATAAGTGATGGGTTAATTATGTGAAGCACATCTTTCTATCGTCACTATCTTCATATTTGTATTTGTACGTATTGACGGGTAGACAGCCATTTATCATCATCAATCAATAACTAATAACGGGATGCTGCCCTTGTCAACACTGTATTTGACGAATTAATTCACATACATGTGAATCAACATTGTCAATTTTTGAATTGTAATAAATGACGGGTCTCGTCAAGAGATTTGGCAATTGTACATGTACATATTAGACATATTACTAACTGGTAACAGCAGTAGGTACTCTTATCCTGCTGCTCCTATTAGTGTTAACAAAGCTCCTGAAATGTGACATGTCTGTTCAACACGACTTGATGATTATCCACATTCAAGAAATTCTTAATCCCAGCCATGCGCAACATCATAACAAACTTAAATGCCTAATTTTTCAAAGAAAACTAAATGGATCACTCGGCATCAATCAATTGGAGCACGACTGATTTTTGCATCTTTTTTTAACAACAAAGTTCGATACCTTTCCCTTTCGAATTCACATTCACATTAAAAAAGACGTCAATCCATTTTATTAAGTACTTACTTGGAGAATGATATGCGTTAACTTTACTGTCAGCAAACAAGGAGTGAAGAAATGTGTGCCGGAAACAACCAATTAAAGCCTAAATTCATGATTCTTAGTTAAAACCAACACAATCATCATGCATACTCATACTTGAGCTAAACCAAATAAAGCCTGAGTGGCCAGGCCGTTCCTTTCGCTAATCAAAATCATAGAATACACATAATAATAATGCTTAACAAGAATATAAAAATTAGGTTATATGACTCTTCTGTTAGCGATCTACTGATAAACTCAATCTCAACTCATGATACAAATTAGTGCGATTGCATAACAAATTATGAGATGAGATTTTTTTGCATTCTGATCTCGGAAGTGAAGAAAGGAAGTTCGTTTTTGTTACTTGAGTTATAAATTACTGTTATTTTTGCTCGATTTTGTTATTTACTCTGTCCAATTGTTTGTTCAATTTCAGTCTGGCGCAAGCAGTCCGAACCATTACCACGACATCGAAAGTTTGACCCTAACTCTCGGCAAGAGTCGACCAGGACGTAAAACATCCAAAGAAAAACGACAATCGTCAATCTGGACGGAACATTTAGAGGTTGAGAAGGAAAGGACCACCACTGCCAACACCGGTACAAACGCCAAAAAATCGTCAAAACCATCAAAAGCTTCAACGCTAAATCCAAAATCTAACAACAAAAAAGGAGAAAAATCGGCACGTGCATCAAACACGTCTCATCAAACTCCTGCTCCTGCAACATTCCTAGAAAACCCGTTACTCTTACAAACTTCCAAGAACTGGACCCTCCCACGCGTCGAGTTGTGGTGCCGAGATCCTGAATGTATGTACAATCAGCGTTTATGGGGAAACCATTACACGTATCAACATCCCCACCTTAACGGAAATAGTCATTATCCTGGAGGTGCGATTCCCGAAGTAGATGAAGTAGACACGGATGAAGTGTATCACACGGATCACACGAGACCATCCACAGGTTATTATACCAGAAGCAGTAATAACAGCAGTAGTGGTTCAAGTAGTCAGAATCACCACGAAGCAGACACCATGGTTTTGAATCAGTATCATCATGATGGCAATAAGGGTGGTCCTCCTCGAGGAGGACAGATGCATCTCAACATGAGTATGGGTATCAATAATTTCGTCCCCAAAGAAGGAATCAACATAATCCATACGAATAATACGAACTCAAAGGCTGACAATACATTTACAAATAATTCAAAGAATAATGGTTTGAGAGGGAAGGGGAATTCCAACTTGACCATGACCCACCACCCGATGATGGACACCTTGGGCTCGACTATCTCCAGCAACAGTGGGACAGACTCTACGATCCTTACGATTCATACGGAAATGACGACAGGTAGTAGTCTGGGACTTATTGGGGAATCCGGTAATAAGGCTGCTCGATCACCGTCGGAAAGGTTTTCCGAAACTACGTATCTAACTGGATTTGACAGTTCTACCACCACCTCAACAACTTCTGGATCTGGGGCAGGGTCTTCTGGACCTTGTAAACCTAATGGCCATGACATTGTGAATCCTAGGATTAGTAACAATGCGGATAATGGACAAGGCATTTACAACAACAACCAGTTGACTACAAATTCCACGGTATACAATCACCAGGTAAAATGAACTAAATACTTTTCCTTCCTCATTATTTCTCTGCAGATTTAATGTCATGATATGAAAGTGACTGACTCACGTACGCAGATTCTCTCGGGTAGTCTACCCACGACTACCTGGGGTGTAAAAGTAATTGGCTGAGAAATTATCAAATTTTTTGAGCAAGTTTCTATTAATTTAAAGACTCATTTGATTCAACATTCTGCAAGTAGTAGACAAAGTCCCTGCTAGATTGTATTAACTGTATTACGTAATTAAACTGCTAAATATTCCCATGCACTGACTTTGCATATTATTACTTTCTTGCCTTTAGTCGGTTAATATATTGAACAGAAACGCTATCTAGAAATTTTACTCTCAAGCCATGCACAAAAATTCTCATTTTGTTGAATAAGCGCGTTGGGAATTTGCGATTCTTCATTTCCATAGCCCAACCTAATTATGACCTTAAATTGAAACAAGTTCATTGCCTACTTATGTATGATATCACACTTGAAGCAGAATTAATATATCGTGTCAACAACTAAATACTTATGCATAAATATAAGCTTAATTAGGATGGTGATATCACTTGTATGCACCATTAAACGAATATTAAATTGAGATTTTCATGAACGATATCTTTCTTTGCAGCATTTAAGACCACCTTCTGAAACACCCCCACCGACAAATCCGTACTGTCCAAATTGTAGCGGAGTCGTTCCTTTAAGTCATTTGGACAATAATGTCGATCTGGGGGGTAGGATGAAGGGGGATCCTGGATTTTGGAACTTTAACAAATTTCAACATCCTCTACAACGCGACCACTCGTTCCACTCTGTTGGTAAGACAAATTCTTAAATAACACAATCTCACTCAAATTAGACAATAGTTTTTTTTCCAATTTATGAATTTTAATGCAAAAATCAACGTCGTCCGTCAACATTATCATCATCCATCAACCAACTAAAGCATAATAACCAAACGCCACGACACGCTTTATCATCAAGCATGCATACATGCACACACAATAATCACACCAAAAAATGCAAAATGTCCCCTTGGAATATGGAATTTGTTCACATCCTCGAGAATGTCCTTTATCATTTTGTGCCTTAATATAAGTAACAGTGGATAATAATTCGTACAATGCATTCACTAGGCTGACATGACAAATTACCACCGCTGAGAATATTATGGAATGTTATAATAGACCCAGAATTATCCCACAAGCCTTTGTTAAAATGAGAGAAGAGCATTATTATCAGGGAATCGATTTGCTAATTTGAAAATAAAATTTTGAAACCTTCACGCCCGATTGTGAACAATGCATATTATTCATCCAACCAACCAACTTCTGAATCTGAGTCCAAATTGCATTCTATTCTTGAAAATATCTTTTTTTTATTCTTTTGCCAAAATTATTACAAGAATGAAAATTCAAGGCGACCTCATGATTTCGATAGATTCTATCGTCAAACGTAGTCATCATCATCGTTCTACGTCCACGGGGCAATATTTCATTTCGTTCTTCACACCTCATCATAATAATTCTCGTGAAATAATGAGTATTCAATATCCCAATAAATTTAATAATAATAATACTGCAGATTATACGAGTTATGGCCTGCACGCATATTTTTTTAATGGCAATATTACACTTGAAATTGACATCTTTCCTTGGAACTTGGATTCATTATGGCATAGTTTCTGCCAAGAAAAAAATATGCAAAACAACAACACTACTAATATGTAGCTTGGTGAGATATGTAAGTACCTACCATCACACAATCTTTATTGCGAACGATGAAAACTTGAACTTCATCTCAAGAATAAAGTTATTTTTCGTTAACAATCAACTCAACCTTATTAAATGGCATTACCATTAAATTTTACGCATAATTTCGCTCATAAAAGTAATTCAATAATAGATATGGTCGAGAAGGTTATTCACATCGTGTGAGACACCACAAGAAATAAAAAGAGTTACCACTACTTAATAAAACCAATAATTGCCAATATTAAAAATAGAATTAAATCCGTTTTTATACTTTTTTTCCTGTAGGAGGATTCACCTTGAATGGTCAATATAACACGACGGTTAAGAAAAACACGATGGTAAAATTTTGTTCAAGGTATGCAATCTAAATAATGTTGATATTTTTGAAAATTGAATTTACAATTGGTTTTGACGGAAGTAAAATTTAAATTTAATTGTTTTCTCTCTAGTCACAAGATCTCCTTGGTCGTGTCAACTTTCTCCTTGATGGTTACGATTGGACTGTTAATTACTCTGTTTTTGATGAAGAGTAAGTGTGCGACGCTATTGTAAAAGTGCATTAAATAAATTAAATGGTGATTCTATTAAAGTTTTTCCGATTTGAATTACAGAACGAGGAATGATGGACACCATGATGGACAGTTAGAAGAGAAGAACTGTTGTATGAAATCAAATCACTTGGGTTTACAGCCATTCAACAAAAACCATGTAATGATTGGATGACGGACGGAGTATATCACGCAAATTGCAAAGGCAAAAAGGCCATGTACTAGCTCTTATTATTATTATTGTATATCTATCCACGTCCTATTTATCACCGTTTTAAGATAACTTTAGGAATTGTATTTATATTTTAATTAATGACTGAATGTCTCGCCAACAACGTGTACTTCTTTAATAGTGCGAGACACACGTTTGTCATCAATAAACGAAATCGCACACTGAAATCTCCCATGTATGTGTAGTAATCATATTATTATTAGCATTGTTAAGTTTGCGTACCTCGATTTCAGATAGTGTTTGTGTCCAGCGATAATCCGGCAAGTCGCACCCGTTTCCAGAATTTGGTTTCAGTTTTCCTTTATCTGTACCAACAAATTATTAATGTTAAATTAAGCTAACGCTCTAGATATGAACACAAATTCGAATTTACTACCATTTTCATCTTCATCTTCGTCATCTGCAGGTTTTGAACCGTTTTCCTCTACTTTAGTGACTGCAGGAGCGTCCCCACTGCCCCCAGCAGAAGAAGACGCACCAGAAGGCTCAGGTGACGACGATTGCTCCGGTTTCTTCTTGTTATCGATCTCCTTTTGGAGTCTTTCCGCCTCTTCCTCCGTGAGTTCCTGTACCGAGGATTCGCTAAGGTCAACGGGTGGAGCTTCCTGCTCTCGACGTTCTTTTTCTGCTCGTTCCTTACGTTTCCGATCGATTTCATCAAACTCCTTTTTCTTTTTCATTTCTGCTTCTTTAGCCTTGGACTCGTACTTTTCGAATTTCTCCAAAATGAGCTGGAAACAGAAAATAATTCACAGATTTTATGCAAAACAGATTAGTAATGCCATCCACCATGCTGTTGATTGTGCCCTAACCTTTCGAGCAGTTGCCCTAGACGCTCCGGTATAAAAGTCGGTCTTCCTTGCCAAGAAACTGAATATGGTGTCCAAAAGCTGTAAAATATATGAAATTCAGATATTGCACGAATATTCAGACGTCATCAAGTTTCAATTATTCATGAATGGATTACCTCTTGAACACCCTCCTCGTGCTGTTGAGCCATGGCCATTAACATGCCATCGAAGGCTTCTGTTAATCAAAGTTAAATCTAATTAGCTTTAAATTGTGACTATTTCAAACATTTACGAGATGACATACTCACCCGGATCTTTTAATGGCATCCTGAACGGTATTCAGTCCGTCAATAAAGATTATAGAAAACCTGAAACTGTAAAAAAAGAAAAGACAAAACATAAAATGATATTCAATCGTTTCACATTAATTAAATCATACAAGGTGCTACTTACCGCTTGTAATACTACAGCCAACACTGGTTGTTGTCGATAACCACACGAGATCTTTTTCAGAACTTGAGAAAATGTAGTTTTGAATATTTCTGAAAATTTCAAACTTGACTATTCAATTTAATTTGTAAAATTTTCAACTTTGAAATTGAATGATGAATGAAAATCTCTCCACGTTTTCTTTATGAACGAAGATTCGGGAAGGTTTCGCGCAACGTTTCTTCAATCGTGAGACACCGCCAAGCCATTTCTACTTTCACCACTCGCGTTCAACTCACCTCAAAATAAATAATTAATCCAAGTTAAAATTAATTGTATCCTAATTTTGAAATAAAATTTAACCATGTCGTACATGCTCCCACATTTACACAATGGGTGGCAAGTAGATCAAGCCATTCTGAGTGAAGAAGACAGAGTTGTGGTTAGTTTTCAAATTAATTAATTTTAAATCTTAATTTTAAACGTTTAAAAGGAAATTAATTAATTTAGTGTTGTTAAATAATCTAGGTCATCCGTTTTGGACACGATTGGGACCCAACTTGCATGAAAATGGATGAAGTATTGTACGGGATTGCGGAAAAGGTCAAGAACTTTGCTGTCGTTTATCTTGTTGATATTTCGCAAGTTTCAGATTTCAATAAAATGTAAGGATAAATGAGTATAACATAATTAATAGGTGTAACTTACACCGTGTAAGTACTAGTTAAATTGATGTACTAATTTATTTACAGGTACGAATTGTACGATCCATGCACGTGCATGTTCTTCTTTCGAAACAAGCACATTATGATCGATTTAGGGACAGGAAACAACAACAAGATTAACTGGGCGTTGGAAGATAAGCAAGAAATGATCGATATTTTGGAAACTGTTTATCGTGGTGCAAGAAAAGGTCGAGGTCTTGTCGTATCTCCCAAGGATTACTCTACAAAATATCGCTACTAATTAAATATTTATACCACAATGTCCATTAGTTCTTCCTCATTTGTTCACATTGATTTATTGATAATCAAACGGCGTACTTTATTTCATTTGGATAAGTTGTATTATCCTCATAATCGTAAAAAAGTCTGATGTATTTTATTTTATACTTTACACGTTCTTAAATAAAGTGTTTTCCCAATTTTGCAAACTTGTGACTACTTGTGTGTGCGAGAAATTTAGTTTTATATCTTATTTATCTGTACTTTCCACCATACAAAGATGCAACAAATACTTAAGTTCAAGGTCCAACACGAGTATCTAATCTAAATATTTCATAGAAAGTAAACTCCATATCGAATCTACAAGTAACCAACTTTCACTCCCAACTTTCTCATGAAATCTTAACTAGAAAGGAACGAGGAAAACTTGTACCACGCAAAAAGTAGTATATCTACTACAAAATGGTAACGAAATGGTAACAGGTGCATAAAAGTGACAGTAATCATGTTATTCACACTTCGTTTTTCAACCATCCTGTCGGGTTATTGTGACAGATTATCATATAAATGTATTCAAAAGTTAAAAGATGGCAAAGGATTTCTAGTATTGGAAAACTTTTACCCTATATCGGCACACCCTGTATTGAAATAGAATATGAAATTTTTCTCTGTCACATGGACCAGGAAGGAGCACAATTACGCATAATTTTTCTGTCGTCTATTATACCTCGTAATTCAATGTCAGCCAAGTAAAGGTGAAAGGTTGAAGGTAACTTTACATATTATTCATTAGATTGGGAATCCTAGGTATCTCTGATCCTATTTTTATGCTTACGCTGTATAAAAGTATTATTTGCTGAGCTATTTACAATCATAAAATACACAAACCGTCCAAATTTGATGGGCTTTTAGTGGTGAAAGTTATGTGAAATTGAATGTTACACAGTCCTTTTATTGGATGACATTCACTATATAAAAAGTATAATGAAAGACTCGTGTTGAGTATTGAACCTTCGAAACAAATAAGTTTAATTTGGAGTAAAAGATAGTTTTATTATAAAAGTTGATTACATATACCACACATCCGTACGAATGTATGTATCTAAATGTTGTAAACAAGTGGCAGTGGCTGGCTGGCTGCAAAGTGTTAAAACTTTCACCGGAGATGGATGCATTTTATTCCAACCCTAACAAATTTCTCCTTGCGATCTATGTTCGTAGATACGTATAGCTCGCATTTCATGTCCACCGATGAAAGTAAGTGCTCCATTTAACTTTTATGCACACACACGCAATCCCGCAACTAAAAGGAGGAAAGTACTTTTTGTTGGTCGTCTTACTTGTTGGAAACAAAGTCAAAATAATGAAGCTGTTCTTTGACCACGAATAATATTCTTGGTACGGAAGCCTCCTCCTCGCGTATCTTGAAGTCGCCGACGACAAAGATGTGTAGGCCAGGCCTTGCGGTGTACATACATACGTAATGTGTACGATCACAATACAATTACCATCACTGCCTCGAGGTCCTTCACTGACAGAGAACCCTTCTTGTTTCCGACCTCCTTCCGTTTCAGACATTTCTTCAAAGACGAATCATTCCACTTTCTAGTGTAGTTTGGCATGTACCTTATTTGTCCTTACTGACAATTACTGTGCTGCTGGAAGGATTGGAACGTATGTATAGTCGTCGTGGTGGGCATCAAATTTTAATTTAGAGGCACGCAGTCTAACATGGATGAAAGTTTTGTGTGTACTATAATTGAATTAGGAAATTATTTATGTATTTTTAGTATAGACGTATCTACATACGCTAAAATTCGGAGGCACATGAATAAGAAATGAGAGACAAGGCGGAGGAGAACAATTTTTGCAAGAAAAGAATGTCAAAGTTTGTACGAAATGGAATTTTCGATATATGTCAAATGTAAAATGAAGGTATACGTGAAGTCATGAAAATATATTTTTATTGTTTAATTTTTAGTCCGAGTCAGGAATTACGCTTATTTGCATAAGTCCGATGGGTTAGCGATAACTAGCGAAAAATTTATTCGACCGTCTTGAAATAATATAATGAGAGATCGAGGTCGAATTTGATAAAATAAAATCGGTCAAGTGATTAGCCGATGTGGTTAGTGGGAGGGATCATTAGTACAGAATATTTGGAATTGCCAGCAATTAATTAATTAATTTCTATAAATTAATTCGGTTTACGTTACGAAAAGACAATTTACAAATATATTATGCATTCAAAAAATTTGCTTGTACGAATTAGGAATGAATCGATCTTTTTATCAGCTCATAAATGCAAGTTTCTCAAAATTTTTATTAACGACGTCATTCTTTCACATTAAATAAACAAACTTTTCATCTGGATCTTTTCCCTAAATTTGCAAAATAGACGGCTAAAATTTAGGACATTTGCGTACTAACGTAATGTCATCGACCAAATTGGGGACCCCCACATATTTTCGAAAATGGACACGGAAGGCTTAAATTTGCATTAACTGCTGGGGCAGATCAGATAACAAATAAGAAATTAGTAAATTGTAAGATTTTTATGCCAGGGGACCCAACAAGGTGACCCCAACTGGCTTTGGAAATTACTGGCATTTTGCATACTGGATTATAGGAACATTTCTGACGATTATGAATAGTAGTTAGTACGATTTTCTGCGAATATTAATAGTCCAAATTCCTTAGAAAACTTTATGAAAGGTTATTTTGTTTTTGGGAAATAATACAAAATAAACCCAAAATAAGAAGAGTGGGTTCGAGTTTTTTCCCAGTCTCAACTTCCCTCTCGCTTTGCAAAATACATTTTTGGCCTATCTCGAAATTTCGCATCGACTTTGTGGGGGGGAGAGGGCGAAATCGCTTATTAGTTGATAAAGATATTTTTTCTGAATTTTACTACGTTGGTCCCAAATTTTTTCGTACACGGAGATAGGGTGACCATATTTGTCCTGACTAAAACTGGGATATTTTTGGCAAATGCCATAATATCCAGTGCTTGGCGAAAAAAATTTGCATAATATCTAGTGCTTGGCGAAAAAATTTTCCATAATGTACCATTGTAGTCTCAGACAGTTGTTATATAAAATCCTACATCAAAAAATTTTTATACTTTCAAAAATTCCAGGACAAGGGAGAAATACCTTCGAAAAAATCAAAATTTCATAAAGTTGAGTTTTAGATTGGATACAATTGAACAACTGTCTCGAAGTAAACAAATTGTAATGGTGCAAAATATCCATAAATTGGTTTTCTTGCAAGACCATTTTTAAACCTTAAAACTTGGTTATAAAATTCCTCTTCTATTTCTTTTTAGCAAAACTAGAAGGTTCCGTAGGGTTAATCTCCTAACTGAATTCTTTATTTGAGATATATTAAGTGCATACAAAATTACAAGTCAATCAGGTAAGTTTTGCAAGACTTCCGACCTGACTTTGTACCGTCGTAGCGGTCCTTGCCAAAATCACCTTTGTTAGCTTTTTCTCTCAGAGCTAGTTAACATTATAAACCAAATTTAGAGTAAAAATCTAAGAAAGGTGATTTTGGCAAGGACCGCTACAGCCGTTTCAATTTAGCCTGAAATCATGCCTTGGACAGTACTTATCTTTGCAAAATTGACTAAAAATTATGATGATTTAATTAACCAAGAGTAAAAATAGATTAAAAATTATTATGCACATACATACATATACCACTTTCTCCTATCTATCTTTCCCTTGAATGCTAGAATACAGATTTTCTTACAGGATTTTTGCAGACTTTTTCAAATTCTTTCAACTTCTCCCATGAATACGGGATGAATGAGTAGCTTTTTTACAAAATTCGTTTTGTGGTCTGCAGCCATTCCATCACTCCTTTTCCCTAACGTTTCGTAATAATTGCGAATAAATCCAATCTGGAGTGCATAGTAACTTGAAGCCGAGATTCCTTCTGGTGGGTTTATGTAGTTAGTTAGGAGATCTTGTCCATCTCTCTACTTGTACAAGAATCCCTTGAGGCACTGTATTAAGTTAACCTTCCCATGGCCGTCGCTATCCATTTAACCATTTAAAATTGTAGCGGCAGCTTCTTTACTTCTTGAAAGGGCTTTACGAGTATGCACTTCTTCTTCTTGTGGAAATTTCGAGAATCCGAATTTCTGAATCTTCTACTGGTGGATCTGGATCTCTTGAGTGAGTGAGTGGAGCTCTTGTACATACACTTTGCCCTGTTTTCTCCCTTGCTTTCTCCAACTAAACTACAGAGTCAACCATCCATAGCACCGCTTCAATGTGTGGAGTTGCTGTGGTTGAGTTGCTTGGTTAGATCAGTGAGACGAAAGATAAGGTGAACCATGAAATGATACAACAAAATGCCTGAGGAGAAATCATCAAAAAAATGTAGAGTGGAGAGAGCTTTGGTTTCATTGGGAGTTGTGAAAGTCTTGTTACAATTTGCAAATTCGGTTTGAATAAAACAGCATAAATATTTCGAAATGGTTAGAATTTCGCAATTTTTGCGCTCATACTTAAATTCACATAAGCTTCCTGCATTTGAATTACTTATTTATTACCGACCGATGCATCAATGTTAACGGAAGTGCCTTGCGTTGAGACATATGCGTTTAAGTCGGGAGTAGTAAAAGCGATGAAAAATGCTTTCTTTTGTCATTTCAGAATGCTTTGTCTTGAGGATAAAGTCAGTCGTGGAGGATCATTAGACATTTCTCTATATAAGACATCGTCCCGATGAAATTTAACCCCAACCCAGGAGGAATTTCCGGATTTGTATAAAAGGTTTTTGATGGTATTTAGCACAAGTCATGAGAATTTTATTCCTTACTGACACCCCTGACTTCCTTGACGTTCCTTGACAGTAATTATAACCAAATCGGGCATAACTAAGCCACCTGGCAGGAATTTATTAATGCTTTTTCCTCAGTTATTCGGCCCAAAACTTTCACCCAACATGCTCGCAGCAATACCTTCCCATTATTCTCTCTATTTACAAAGCGAGTTGTAATTTCAACCCCCAGACAATTAGACAATGGGGACTTGTAAGTCTTAATCCTCTTCTACGACCTTCCACAAGCCCAACAATGAAAGGACGAGGGTGGGTTGTGAATTACGGAAATCGTGGCAAACTCGCTTTCTGCCTTCATGCACGATTGCACAAGCACTAAATTCGGCAAGGGTGGGTATAGTTTGCTTTGAGTTTGTTAAATACGCTCCACTTTCACCTTCACCTCGACCTCCGTTGGATTAAAAGCAACGTTATTTCATAAAAACAAATTACGAAGCCACGATTTAAATCACTCGCTAGAAAACCACTCGAAAAAAATTGAATTATTAATGACGAATAGAATATTGCAATAAACATAATTAATTGATTTTTAAATGTGGACACGCAAGCAGCTCAAACTTTTCTCGACTCTCTCTTTCTCTCTCTTAATCTGATATTAAGTTTCTTCCTCGTACCGTATTAATAGAATTGAAAGAAGGAAAGTAAGTATTATGTTTGGTCACGAAATGACATGCTCAATCGAACCGACTTGTGCATCGTCATGCAGTAATTTAACAGGTATGTATGGCTACTTTTTCAATACGCATGAACTAACAGGGTCAATCCATAATACATCCACCACCACTTATCGCAATACATGCATACTTATCTAATTCCTCTTTACTAGATTATTATCAATATTATGCTCATTTCCAATCTATGATGGGGTTTGTTCCGGCTGGAGAAAGTATTCAACAAGCAGCTCGTCTCCAGGATTGGGCTCACTTTCCCCGGATATGGAAAAATGTGCTGGGGAAAACGTGGAGGAAAAGTGGGCACATTACCAGCAGAACCACCACCACTACCACTTTTCGTCAAGAGAGAAGAGAGAAAAGCGACCGAGAGACAGATCTCACTCAACATTTCCGCAGCTCAGTTCACTCTCCGTGCTTCAGAATCTGGCCAACTTTCTCCTCCGATTTGGTTCTGGTGAGAAAAAGGACGACCCAGTCTCAAAACTTTCATAGGGTGCAATTTGGAGTGAATTAGTGTAAACTGTCAAGCAAGGCGGCATCAAGTAGTTATTATATAGTTGAAGAACTTAAACTTTTTCTTGATAACGAGGAATAAATATTTCTACTTATTGAGAAAAATAGATATTTATTTGTAGATTTTTCAGAATTTGTCAGATCTTGTTAGAAGATTTATTTAATTGCGCCATCAAAATGCTTCTTACAATGTTGGAGAAAAGTCAGAAATAATTTTCCGATAATATTTTAGAGAATAGCGACAATAGGAGGGAAAAACTTATTTTTAATTCTTATATAGAAGATTAGGCTATTTCTCAACTTAAAGGTCACGTTTTTATGATACGACAAAATTCCAAGCTCCAATTACTTCCTTCATCCAGATAATATTACTAGTTGTTAAGAGAAATCAGTTCTTTTTCAGCCCCATAAATGTAGATCTTTACCAAGGTACCAGACAAAATATCAGCAGAGTTAGTGACCGTGAGAAAAAGTCTGGCAGTCAAAGGGTCATCTCATCCAGCTCGTAAAATATCGCAGTAAGAATTGATGGTAGTAGTGAGCGATTTACTGGTGCGAGTGAACGATACGCAGCAGGAGCAACCAAACGAATAAGAAAAAAAGAACAATACATACATGTAATATTCTAGAGTAGAAGAAAGACTGGACATATTTCGTACGTGATTTCACCGGAAGCGGTAAACTGGACAGTAAAGTAAACAGGAGGATACCACACACACACCAACCACCCATCCGAGCAGACCTAACAGGTAACTTATTTTATTTTATAAAACTCTCGACATTGCTGCTGCTGCTGACAAATTAAGGTGAGTGTGCTGTGCTGTGCTGGTAACTTGGGAGGAATTGTTCGGGTGAAAGTATATACGACGACATGTTGCTCATCCTCCTTAGTTTCGTGTGTACTTTATTTTTATTTTAGGTTACATAAAATCTGGTACAAGATATTGTGAAACGCAATTGAACCATGCCTCCTCTTTCCCTCTTTATTCCCACGTATTCTACTGCCTACAAAGTGTCTGGATAAAATAGAATTGAAGCCATTTTTTCCATGATTTAATTTATAAAATTCTTGGCCTTCCTGCCAAAAGAATTTTATTCTGAGGATGAGCCTGAGCGAACATTACTTCAATTTAGGGGCGTCTAGTGTCCCTTTTGACTTTTAAGGTTGGAGTGGAGGAAGAAGAGCATGCATGTTTATTTAGTTGACCATTTCGTATTCCAGGGAGGAGGTCAGAGTGTAAAATGTTGATGCGTTCTCTGATTTTACGGCGCATATGTATGTTTCATTATGAAGATATATACATACATAGTTTCGAAATTTGTATGTATGTCTGGGTTTTGGCTGGGCTTGGCTGGAGGCTCATAACGCAGATCCAATTCGAGGTGCAAGTAGAACGAATGTGACCATAAATAACAAATTAACAACAAAGTTAGGGTTTCGGGAGCTTGTTGAGACCAACAGCCCAAGGAGAGGGCGAGGATTAGGATGACATTACTTAATCCCAGCTTGACCATTCTCTTTGGTGACATTAGTACGAAAATGGACAGCGCTTTGGAGGAGTATCTATGATGATGGGGTCGTATTACATAAAACCAAAGATTCAGGGTATGAATATAATACATATATATTCAATATTCCGTGAACCATACATTTCTGTGGAATTAGAAACCTGAATCAATAAAATTCAATATCCACCACGGTAATCAGAGAATGTTAGCAAATTGTCTCATGGCGCATGTGAATTTCGCAAATTTCTATATTTTTCCGTCCAACTTGCAAACAAATTCTTTGAGAGAGACTGCTCCCATGGGAAGAAAGGAACTACATATGCACGGTGTACGTCAACCGAACCATCCTCTGTTTAAAATTGACGCACACACATATTTCCAGAATTTCTACTTCTGAAGAGATACACAATTATGAAAATTGTCATCACTAATGACTTCAGCCGCAATGCTGAATAGCACCACGAATTCCATGTTATCCACGTTATAATCTAATCTACGAATACGTATAGTACGACTTAGGCATCGTGGTATAGAAGTCATAAATGGTGTGACATGATGATGTAGCGATAACTAACTTAATAGCATTCTCTAGCAGCATTTTGGTTCTGATGCAATCCACCCAATTTGGGAGCACATTCAAAGAAACTGGATTCGTTAGGGGGAAGAGATACAAATCAAATAAAAAGATTTTCTCCATTCTTTTGGTGAAAGGTGGTGGCTTGGCGATAATGTAATGCCTGGTTGAGTTTATCATTACAGCATTTCGTTTGGCAACATATCAGGAGAGAAGAAGACGCTAATTAATGTCACTTCTATAATCCTGCAATCCACCAATGTAATTAGAGGTGAAGTTGGATGTCACCTTGTTGTCGTCATGATGTTGCGTTGCAAACGGTGGAATTTCCACTCAAGTCCAAAACCTTAACCCCTAAAAACACCGTGGTCATATTGACAAACATTCCTCTTCGAAATGAATATGTACATACGCACGAAATACCTGAGTGTTTCACACCTTTTCAAATGCCAGCCTCACCTGTGGAACAGTAGCAAAAGTGAAAGCCCTTTTCCCAGTAATTGTTGTTATAAACTGGGAGATAAAATGGCCAATTTGTAAATAATTTGAGCGCAGAAAAAAGAACAAAGGAGAGAAAAAATGACGGTAAAAAAAGAAGAGTGAGATGTCTGTCTGCAACTAACTCTAGCTTTTAACTTGCTTTCCTCCTTTTTATTTCCCACCCTCTGCCGACGAATCGGTTCGACTTTCCCCTTTATTTTTGAAGATAAAAGGTGAATTATTTATTCCCTTTGCACAGCAGACTGGGCGAAAAAGGAGGTGATAACGACAACTTCGCCTCCCTCCTTTCATCTGTCAGTCATTTGTCGTCTGCCAAGGTTTAGGCAGCGAAAATAAAATAAAATAAAATAAAAGTTGAAACTATTTCGATTTATGGTTTCAATCAAACGGAAGTTGTTGGTGAAAGGAGAGTGACTGTAGCATAATGTATGTGGCGGTGGGTGGACTAGATATACATACAAATGTACATACGAATGTGGTGGCAAAATGACATGTTTTCGGAAGAATGATGATAGACAAACTATATCAATATGTCAGGAAATGTGGAAGCAAGTAAGATGTCGGATGGTGTGAATTTGTTGCCCAAACTTGCCAACTTGCGGTCGGTAGTGAAAGTGTTTGCAAAAGGTGAGAAAGATGAGGATGAAGTGAAGTGAAGGAAAGAAGAAAATTTGGCGAGTTGTGTGTATGTATACCTAAGCTTTCACTTATGAAGATGGAACGAAGACATTTTGTTCTACTTTCTCCATATGATTAGTTTTTTTTCTCTCTACATCTACGTACCTAAATCTAGATAAACTCGCCTGCAGGTAGATTCTGCAATGTTTTTGTTATCCTCCTTGTTTTACGATTGTGCACAAAACAAACAGAAAGCTACAAGTTGGGAGGGATTAGCGGAGGATTCCTCTCGGTTGAGATCTTCGTAACATAGTAGCAAAGTACATATTGTCGTAAAAAAAGGGTTGGATAAGAGAGAGAGGAATCGTCTAGAATTCGTCGTCAGTTTGTTAGCAGGGCATCATTATAAATGTTATGTAAGGAAGAGACGTAATAGAATAAATGTTATATTGAAAGCGTAGATTTTTATCTGAAGGTAACTTTGTTATCGACGAATTAAATAAATGTGGAGCGACAACGACAACATTTTCATGAGATGAAGTAGTAGAGAAAGATGTTCGGCACTTTTGTATGTTTGTATGCTCGAATTAACACACAATTCGTGTTATACAAAGGAGTAGACGTGGGCAAATGAGGGTCCTTGTTAATGCCAACTTTTTTTTGCTGCGAGATATGCATACACATTCAAGCAAAACTTGTGACTAGCTAAAAAGACCTTCAGATTTGTATAGAAATTCTGGCCAATGAAAAGATATTGAAAAAAAATTATCCAAAATGTCAATAAACAAGTTTCTGAAGTGAACTTTTTCCTCTACTGCTTCGCCAATGGACCGTCAACCGTCGTCGTTGGTGAGTAATATACTGGGCAGGAAGTGTGTGTGCATAGTGCAAGTGGAAGTGCAAAAGATCAGTCAGTGTCATTTCCAAACCTCCACTAACTATTCTAACCGTGTAACCTAACCACACTTTTTTTGAAAAGGTTGGAAGAAAAATAGAGGGTATGGATCGTGTGGTTGGTGTTGATGGATAGTTTGCAATTTCTTAAGGAACGAACACATTTTTGTTCATCTCGGTCCACGCTGGAGGACATAATAAGTACATATTTTAAGTAGAAAATTAAAAAGAAAACGTCTCCAATTTTTTAGCTATGTTTGAAGTTCTTTGAGTCTGGACTTATGTAATCACTTCGTTTTTTAATAAGTATTTCGTAAAACTTTGGTAATATGTAACTTAATAATATACCTATGAAAGTATATATAGAGAGGTTGTAAAAAAAGCTCTTTGATTTTCCTACGGATTTCTGAAATGTATGCAAATTGCATTGTTATCTTTACGAAATTCTCATCTTGTCACATCTTTCATAAATATTGAGGGCAAAATTAGCACTAGATAATTTTTGGGCTGAGTGGCTTTCCCTACTTTCTCCAGTGTTGACATACTTCATTACTCTTCTTCTTACGTAAACCCTGTTCCCACGTTTTCGCCATTCTTTTTCCTCTCAAAGACATTGAATCTTATTTGCTTTGCGCTATGGACGAACTACGACTGTGTGTACACGATGTATCACAATGCAAGTTGAAGTACATCCAGAAACCACTTTGGCAGAAATATGTAGGCTCGACTAATCCCTGAATAAATTTACTTTGCAAACCAGTCCTGGTAAGTAAAATTGTCGCAATTACTTTACGATGGTTGGTCCACCTGCATATACATACAATTTACCCAGGGACACGTCTCCCTACCTAAGTTTCACCTGAACAAAGAGAAACTAAGCTCATCAAGAGGACCGACTTTGCATTGTCCAAGAGTTGATTACGACAAATTGCGTTATGCACTCTATGCCTACCTTAAAATAGCAGAACGTGGTATTTATTTATGTTGGAAGATGAAGATGGGAAGAAGAAGCCCTAAATCTCCACCCTTATTGCTAATCTTGTCACCCACCCACCCACCACCTTCTCATTATCACCGAGTCTACATAATGTCGACGACAAGGAATGGTCAACCTGTCAGAGAGTGAAAGCCTTGAAATGGAGGTGGTGGAGAAAGCTTCTTTCGCATAAAAGCCCTCATTCTATCAGGATGATGAATGTTTGTTTGTTTACTTTGACTTTGATCCTTTCACAATTTGCCCATCGGCAGAAATAGCGAACTAAAGTCATTGAATCTAACCTCACTACAAGTAGAAATGGGGAATCGGTTGGCTACAAAAATTTGGCAAGAAGCCTTCTGGGAATTGGAAATGTGGAAAATTAAATAACTTGGAATGGTGTTATTATTATGAGAGGCAAACGAGCAGAAGGAAAAGGTGTGTGTACATGTCAGAATGTTATTCATTGCGTAGGATTAGGTATGCACGACGATCCACCTACTGCTTTTCACTGGCCGCGGAAGCGTGGGTGGGGACAGAGGGACAATGTCCCTACGGTTGTTCGATGTCCGCATCATCTGTCCATGTTATATAAACCCGTCCCTCCCTTATCCGACAATGTTAATGTCCCCACGGCTTCTGCGACCACTGCTGGTTTTATACCAAGGATTGACTTTGCACCTCTGCTTTTGGATTAAATTAAGTCATTCGAAATATATAGCGCAACGATTCTTGACTGAAGGCTGAAATCAAGCAGCAAAACATTCAATTCAACAAATCCCTCGGAAACTTATAGCAGGAAGTAATAATCTAAATGTCCTATCATGCGTCGCAGTGGCGGCAGTTAAGCCTCGCCAGCATCACCCATACGATACCAGACGTCCTGCATATATTGGGACAAAATAATATAAAATGCAAATTGTGCATCAATGGTACTGACAGGTTGATATTTAGAATTAGATTGGATCTGGATGAAGAGGAGGAGAAAGTGGGGCGAAGGAGAGGTGAAAGGTGGTGCAAAACGGAGCAGAAGGCCAAGCTATGCATTACATATAGAACTAAGATTACGTTACACAATCCCAATTTTCGAATTCGGATTTAGAACAAAAAAGGTTTCTGTGCAGAGCAGACATGAAATTTAATTTGCTTTCATAGAAAAAATTTCTTCCATAATAAAATGTATGGGACGAGAACCATGTAATGAAATCGAAGTTTTAAACCCTATTTACACACCTACTCAGACATTTTGAGTAAATTAAATAAATAAAGGGCAAGCCAAAAACATTTGCTTTTATGTAATTTAATTACATATATAGATTTGGGCACAATTTAGAATTGTGCATACATTGAAGCGAGCGATATATCATATATATGACTATAATTTTGTGTGGGTTTTACTTATCGAGCAGACATCCAATCCCTAAAGTCATGATCCGCATGTAGAGAATTGTTCATTTTTGGCCAGTAAAAACCTGCCGTAAATTAACAAAAATAATTAAATATATGTAACCTACATATTTTACATATTACGACAAACCCGAGCGGCAGCGTGATCATTCTTATCCTGATTTTCTGCATAAACGGGTCCTGTAACAGTGATGATATCATTTTTCTGTGCATATGCGGAATTGGCATCAGTGAAATTCTTTTCCTCTTCATTTCTCAGACGAATTTTCCCAGCCGTCATCTTCACAACCTGTAACGAAAGGAAATGCATAAGTACTTTTCATAGATGAGTGCAATCTAAACTTTTTGCCTCGCAAAACCTTGCAAAATTTGGAACCATCCACTCAATAGTGTCATGATCAATGCTAACTAATTTTGTAAACCGAACTATTTATTTCAATCTCTCTCTCTCCAACTTCGTTTGCAATAACGCTCTTCGCTCAGCCACCTTTTCATCTCATCAGGCAATCTAATCTCAAAAGATTGGGCAGTAAATAAACCGGTCGCCTCCGAAATGCTTAGTTTAGTTAGTTAGCGACTGGGTGGTGGTACGGAAAATCATCAGTTGGCGAAAGTTGGACAGTTTGTTAATAGGACACAAAGCAAAAGATGGATGATACGAAATGAGAAATGTAAATCCCTTTCTCACTGCACGAGATCTCTCTCTTACCAAAACCCATCGCCCAATCCTATCAACTAAAAGATGGAGAAAAGTATTGAATCGGGCTGAAATTGGATGTCTTTGTCTCTTGATAGTTCAGAGATAAGACTCGCTGCGTCTCATTATTATTGCCTTCTTTTTACCCTTTCACCCAGTAAATGTATGGATGTGCTGCTGGCTTAATACATGGAGATAAAACTATAGGAAGTAATTTTGATGCTTACATCGCCAGCCTTGAACTTGCCACTTCCACCCAACGAAGGGAACTTGACAGAGTTGAAGAACTTTTGGTTGGGCACATTTGGGATCAGGGGTCCATTCTTTTCAATTGTAAAGTTCATTTTCTCACCACTTCAAGAAAAACGAGGAAGGAAGCTTGAAGGAAAGTTAAACCGGATATGAGGAAGAATTTTCTGATGCTGCTGCTGTGCTAGACGACTCTTTGGTTTGGTGGACTCAAAAATCGGAAACGAATTTCGTGGAAAGGAGAAATCTGTGTCTTAATCCTCAAAGGAGATAAGTTTTTTAGAATCCCAGCTCGACTATGTATGATGACGACTCTTTGGTTTGGAAGGTATTGGAATTTGTGGGGATGAAAATTGAATTGCGCTCTGATTCTAAAGGTTCTGAAAATATGATTCCTTAGTAACGAAAGTGTACCTTACAGAGAGGGTTAATCTTATGATAAGATTCTTATCATAAGCGCGTGTACAGTCGTTATGGATAACCTCGAAATAAATGATCCCTCCATTGAATCGCTTTGAATGCGTAGGTATATTTACAACGAGAAGCGTGGGAGGTAGCCAAACTCAACGCAAATATGTACCTCTAACTGTTGCCTTTGTATGATTAAGGCAACTTATGCGTGGGGTTTTCTCGTATGGATTTATTTTAAGCTGCGTGCATAACACTGCTTATTTCCATCTCAATTTTTGTGGTGCGACAACTATGCACAAATTTCAATTCTGTTATTGCATAACTTTTGATCCCTACACTTTAATTCGGTTCTTACAAAACATTTTTTGTCCGGCCAGATGAAAAATACGATCCCATTTGGCGTCACTCCATTGTCATTCACATGCTTCAATCCTGTCTGGTTGTGATTTAAAGTAGTAAAATTAATCTTCATTTGGTCAAAATCTCAGTGACAAACTGTAAACTTTTTGTTCGAACTTTTCACTAGTATTTCAGAAAGCAAACGTTCAATAAAGATTTAAAAGACATTTCAATAAATGATGTCGAAGGAAATTCTATCCGTGTATAGAAAGAGGAGAAGAAATGAATACTGAGTACTTTATATTGGCAATGACCTGATTCTGACCTTGAATCCGTCCTTTCTTACCTATAGAGACTAGAGCGGCTATGCCATTATAAGCACATAACTGCCGTTATATTCCTCCTCGGTCGAATAAAAAAAGGTGAGGTGAGGATTGGACGAGGGACACGGCGACAACGGCGACATGAAATGGATATCAGGTTTTATCCTCGGATGAGAATGAAACAATTCCCCGTGGACTCAAAGGATTACTCATTATTGCGAAACGTATGTGAGAAGGAGGTGAATCTACAAGAGTGAAAGCAGCAGGATAGGAAATGGGAAACATAAGTCAAAAATCAATGGATTTGTAATAATCTTATGATCTGAGTTCATTATTATCATTATACGAACATACATATATAAGTTTTGTCTTATCCGTTTGTTTACTTTTAACTGGATTGTGAAACTGGTTGGTTGGTTGTACATAATCTTTAGAAATCGTATTATCTATTTCCTATTTTTAGTTTCATTAATATTTAACGAATAATTCGCTCGTATTCCAAAACGTCAAAACAATTCTCATGATTCAAGAAGAAGGATGAGCAACCACTTAAATTATCTAGAAACACGTTAAACATGAAACTCCCGTATTTTCATTTCAGTTAATATGAAGAACGCAATATGACTGCGAATTGAGAATCTAATTACGAGTACGACACAGTCCTAAGGAGTCATCCTACAAAGCCTGGATTAATTCAGTTAACTTCTCATTATCAAATGTGCTGTTTTCTCGAACGGTTATCTGCTGCATCAATTTGAGTTGATTTCATCCATCCCATGTACCTACGTTCAGTTCACTGAGGCAAATAAAGTAACAATGCCGCAACTGAGGATAAATGGAACCGATATTGAGGACGAGATGACAAAGTCTTCGTCAATGATAAAAGTAAATCCCCTCAGTTTGAATGGAACAGATTTTGGAGAATTGACATGTGGGAACTTTACATCGGATTACAACATCACGTCGGCTGGTTCGGATGCTGGTGGAAATTTCAGTGCCCTGAATTTAAGCAACCTGCTGAATTTGAACAAATGGATTGGTCCTTCTCGTGGAGAAAATAATGACGACGACGACATGATCAGGAATGGGATTGGATCAAAAATTGGAACTAATCCGACCGCAAATATTTATTCTGCCACAACACAATCCCATTGTCCTTACAGTTGGGATGGTGTCCTGTGTTGGCCTCCTACCATTGTTGGGAACACGGCCAACTTACCGTGCATGGAGAAACTGCATGGTATACCGTACAACACGTCAGGTAAGGATCTAGAGTCCATATAAGTTGATCATGATCTCACAAGTTTGTGTGGGTTTGAGCCTGAGCTAACTTTATTTATAGCTACACGAAAAGAATTTAGGGAGAGACAGTTGAGCCATGTTTTCTGAAGAAAGACCATTTTTTAGCGAGAAATCACCGAAACAGCAGTTTATCAAATTAAGAGGAGGAGAAATTTTGCATGCAAATAAATCATGGCGAATTTTACCACACAGTCCAAAGTTTAGGATCATGCAACAGTTGGTTTAGTTATGAATGATTATGGTGAAAGTTTAAGGTGTTACATATGTGATTGGCACACGCCTTCATAACTTTGCAGGTATTATACGTACCAGAAGCCCATTCTGTACAAGGACAAAAAATAAATCCCAAATTCAATTACTTACTTGCTTGCACAATGCTTAGTCAAAAGGTGTCGTATCCATAAATAATTCATACCGTGTGAATAAATAGCGTGGGCTTTGGATTTGTTATGTGTGCCTGATTGACCTGTTTCTGAAGTGAGACTGTTAAATGTTGGATTTAGTTCACAAGTTGAAAATTGGCGATATCATGCATGAAATGTTGCATATGTAGCTAATGTGTAGGTTGGCGATAGTTAGGATACACTGTCTCCGGTAATAGTTGCCAGCTAGAGATGAAGTGAAAGTTATATTGTACTCGCAATTTTTCAAGCAAGCAAAAGTTGTCTGGCTCGTTTTGATGGATGAATTATTTTTACTTTTACAATAACTTTCACCCCAGTGGACTTACGTAGGTATGCAGTCACCGAATATGTAATGGAGATATTCGTTTGAATAAATTCTAAAATGGAATCCACCAGGGTCATGGCTGTCTGTAATTGGCTGGGTAATACATATTTCACCTGTGGAAATGCTCAATTTCTACCTATTTTTAGACAATTTGAATAAAAATGAGTCAATTATAGAAGTCAAATGTCTGTCCATACATTTAAAAATAGTGTTTTACTCCATTGAAATTGTAGCTGGGATGTACTACATACATGCAAATTCTATTTTAAGTTTTACAACACCGTAAAAAATATGCAATATGCATCCTCACACAAAATCCGTAGATCGTCAAATACTAAATTATTTAGCAAACCAACCTCTCGCCCTTCTTTTGCAAAATTTATTATTCACAACACACATTTAGACATGACACGCATTAAACCTTGCAAGAATATGGGTTGAAGCATGATAGTAAAATAATCCAACACGTAGCCCTTCTCCGCCAATGATTAATCATCTTTCACCTTAATCTTAGACTTAGAAAACCCTTATTTACACACATAGAACTGGTTCCTTATTGTAGGCCATCCCATGATTGGTTTCCCCACTAATTTAAACAGAAGCCTAGTTTAAAGAGAGATCCCTTTTACGAGGAGAAAGTGGTGTTGTGGTGCATATGTAGGTACATAGTTGGTATTCAGTGTTAATCGTGCTTCATCAGCATGCCTGCCTTCAAGTTGGGGTTAAATTTGACGGGGTGACTTTTTCTCATAAATCTTTCCGACTATCTAATTATGAGGCAATTATTATGTATGTGCAGGCATTGCGACCAGAGTTTGTGATTATGAAGGGGTCTGGGGCAAGACGAATTATTCAAGTTGTGAACACACGCTAACAGCCCTTAACCCTACATCTCTCGATACCACGATTATGGTTTACTTTTATGGCTATGGGTTGGTAAGTTGGGTAACTAAATATAATTGTTCATTAACTTACTGGTTATTTGCAATAATTAATGTTCTTCCCGCAGTCTCTCACTGCACTTATTTGTGCTGCCATAATATTCATCGCGTTCAAGTAAGTGTACCAACTCCTTAAAAACAATAAGATTAAATTTAGTGCTGCTTGAAAATTCAAAATTCTTCTAGGGAACTGCGCTGTTTGCGGAACACCATCCATTCTCATCTCATCTTAACTTACATCCTGCACGATATTTTGTGGGCGAGCAGTATTGTCGCAAGTGTTTATGTATGTAATGAATTTCGCGATAATATGTGGTTTGTATCAAGCAAGATAAGCACATTTATGTATCTCATCCTATGTACATATTTACGAAGAAATTCGCTGTATGTACATATGTACATCTCTGTTGGAAAGTTTATTTTCAAACTCATGATAAACAGTAACTTGATACATGCGTGTTTTCGAGGGAGGATTTATGTCTTCGTTAAAAATTCTGTTTTGTAACTTTTAGTCCAAAACGGGAAAACACAGCGATCGAGCGGCATGTGCAACGTTCATCTTGCTTCATTACTTCTACCTGAGCAATTTCAGCTGGATGTTTGTTGAAGGTAAGGATTGCTAAATTAATAAGGAGTCGTTTTATGTAGTTTTATGTGGTGGTCTTGTCACTCAAACCAATACGGACAAGTGAAACTTTTCCTTGAATAATTTAAGCTCAAGTTTGAAATCTGTAGTAGCGTCTGCAGTTCGGCTGACTCGAATATATACGCAAGGAACTCATTTCCTTTTATTTTTACGACAATCAACATGACAATTGTCTTCAGGATGATTGAATTGTGGTAATTAATTTACTCCTTGGATTGAACGGGGTGCCTTTTTCACGAGAGGAAATCTATTTACTAGAGAGAGACAGTCACACTTGGAGATTCCTGACGATGAAAGTGGAATGTTTTTGCAGAGATTCTCTTGATAGAGTTGTTGTATTTTGGTTATTTCGTCTCATCTGCCAAGACTCGTTACAGTAGTGATGCAGCTCATCTAATTTTCTTTCTCCCACGAAAACACGGACAACGGAGGAGGAAAAGCGTGGAAGGATTCGCAATCAAACGCAGAAACTCCAAGCAGAAAGTAGAATTACGTATCGTGACATCATTCCAGTGGAAAATCAACATATTTATTTTATAGATTTCGATGCCTAAATGAGTTTATTTAATTATTTGATTAATGGAAAAGCTTTTATAGGTTTTGGTTTATTTTTATCTCGAGTTTTTCGTATTTTTTGTGTATTTATGTAATTGACTTGGTCAATCCACTAAAAAACAATAAGCAGCCTACTTATCAGCTCGACTTTCTAACTTGAAGAGAAAATTGAATTTTGTTTTCTCATCTGTAAAATCGCAGGGGTTTAAGTGCATTTAACAGCTTTCGTTCAAGATTGACTTTTGTAGGCTCTTGTAGTACTAGGAAGCCAATAATGTGTTTTGAACATATCTCCAAAACCAATACATGTACAAAAATAGATATGGGATAACAACGACGACAAATGCTTGGTTTCATTACATAACAAAATCGAGTCGACGTAAGATTACGGGAAAAAAATTCTTAGATTTCTAGATCCTCGCAATTATCCACACTTTTGCGGAATGGAAGTCGCAGAATTGAATCAAACCATTTATCACTGGATGAATCATTGATAGATGGATGGGCGGAGAAGCCGTGGAGAGAGGAGAAAGTGCACTCAGCCACTAATTGAACATGGAGGATTGAGACCAACTAGATGTTAGGCAGGCAGGTTTCGAGACCACAAGTTTGAGTTGCACGAGTGGAATGTTCTGTTTTGGACAACTTGCTTCCTCGAAAGCTACAAATAAATCTAAACTTTCACTCACCTGCCACTTATTCGCTTGTCGTGTCCGGTCCGTCGTCTCCTAAGGGTTTAAACCCCCCGCCACCAAAAACAACAAGGACCACCACTTTATTGCGGTTCTGGTCAACTTGTACATAATAATTTGCAAGTTTAAAGTTCATGGTCACCCTAATTTGGACAAATGACCGGACATGATGGTTCTGCTAATTGATCTATTTCAGGCCTGTACCTTTACGTCCTCGTGGTGCAGACATTTATGGCGGAAAGTATCCAACTGAGGACGTATTGCATTGTTGGCTGGGGTAATTATTTGCAGGATCATGGTCATGAAAATGAGAATAAGATGCACATCTGTCCATTTTATAGGAATTCCTCTCTTGGTAGTGCTTATTTGGTGCTTCACTCGCTGGATAATGATGGACGTGGGAGTGGCAGATGGCCAAGTTGCGATTGGATCTCCAATAAATCCGGTTATTTATAATTTCTCTTTAGTCAAGATTCTGCAATCATCACCTGCAAAACTCTATTTCTAATAATTTATTACTTTAGTTGCGAGACTTGGATCAAAATATGCTGTCTTGTCCTTGGCTGCATGAAAATGTCTACGATTGGATCCACAAAATCTCTGCACTTCTCTGCTTGGCTGCAAATATGCTATTTCTCCTTCAAATTATGTGGGTGAGTTGGAATTGAATTGAGAAAGCAATTTACTCTCAGGGAGGAATCCCATTTGCCCGCAACAGGAAATGTGGGTAGTGAGTAGTGACTTCCTTAATAATAGCAATAAATTCGCGAAGTTGCCTAAATTCATGCCGTGCAAAAAGTATTAGATATCTACTTTCCCCATTTAAAGATAAATAAATTATCCACAATTTGATCAGGTCCTTATCACGAAGTTGAGATCCGCAACAACTCCTGAAACTCAGCAGAGCAGGAAAGCAGCGAAAGCTTTGATCGTTTTAATGCCGCTGCTGGGCATCACATACGTCCTAATTTTAATCGGACCAAGAAAAGTACCAGAGTATGAACATGTCCGGGCTTTTCTGATTTCCACACAAGTACGAAAAACTACAATTTTATGCATAGTTAGGTTTCGCACCAAGTAAAAAAATGTCTCTTAGGGGTTTTTGGTCGCACTTTTCTACTGCTTCCTTAATCAAGAGGTTCGTCTTGCTTTGAGGCATCGATGGAACAGGATTCGCAGTTTGGGACCAGATTGCGCTTGTTGCGGATGCGAAACGGAGAATGAACGGAGGACTAATTTGCAAGCGAGAGATTGGTCACCTCGTAGTCGAACGGAAAGCATAAGGTTTGCATACATACGTCATCTTATTGGATTCATATGCGTACTTTCTCTACCATGTTTTTCTCTGTCAAATCCAGGTTGTACACGCCAACGGGACATACTTTCCGAAAGCGAGAATCCTCAGCTAGCGAGACCACAACCATGGTAAGAACTTAAAACGTCATAAATTTAGTGGTTGAAAAACACCATGAATGAATGAACAACTGATTTGTTATTGTTCACACTCAGACCGCGGTGCTGGGCAGTTACAATGGAAGCGGTGGAGGTCAAAATATCATCCTCACCACGGCCCCCAGTCGTCGGTACTCTGCAACTCCGTTGCACTCAATGAAATCGTCAAACATCACGATGCATGAGGATACGGCTTTCATCTAAACTTGACGCTATACCAATTATGTGTGGGTCCATAATATGTATATACAAATGAAATGATGAAATAGCCAGATTTCCAGTCAGATATTTACTTTATTTACTAATATTATCTATGAAATGTATACTCTCTTTGTAATGATGTGCTTCAAATTATGACATTTTCAAAATGGTTACCTATTACCACCTCGATGTTACAGATAGATTTAGACTGTGCTTAATGTTGTATGCACACAAATGCACATCAATTATTGTTCGCACCACATTTTTAAATACGTGTTTATTCAATTTACTATAAATTATTGTATTTGTGTAAAATATAATATAATATAAATAACTCTATTTAATTGTGATAGGCTACGTGACCCGTGTTTATTCGTATACTCAAGTTCTTCATTTCAATCAATAATGATCTCTCTCCTTACTTGTTCCATCCTACCCAGCACTTTGCCCAGTGTTCATTACACGTTCTATATGACGCTGCTACAAAAGTAGTGCCACTCAAACTAATGACCTCAAGTAATTTGACTAGGGCACTTATTATGATATGACGCAGTCCATGCGTACACTAAATATGCCACTGCTCCCAACTTGATTCAATTAACAAATAAGAACACATTTGATCATAGTTGTTAGTAGGGAAGGAGAAAATCTAATTTGCAGGGCAGGAGTCGGCAATGAAAATTTTGCAAAGGTGGATGGATACTGGTATCATTGACTTAACTTTATTTGTTGCATTATGCTAATTTGGACTACTTAAACTAGTGCAAAGATATTGTTGGGTTAATGTCCTTATTTTGTTGGTCAAATGACAAGCTGTATGTCTCACGGAGAAGAGACATTTTATAATGTAGAAATATTTGTAGTATTAGTGTTGCAAATTATTGGTAAAGTTAATAATTTCAAAGTATTTGAGAAACCAGGAAGACTCATTAAAATTTAATAATCGTAATTTTAATTTTAACTTCATAATTATTAATTTTACATCCAGGAGCTCCTACAGTCTCTTACATATGTATGTACATAATTACAACCAACCTGGATGGAAGCAGTTAAATTACAAACTACGTATCACATGTGTCTAAATTATCTACATATATATCGTAAGTCGTGTTCAAATTGTGTACTATTTATAATAAATCAAGAATCTATCCAAATTAATTACTCTTTTAAATGTTTGTACCAACATCAATCTATTTATCTCTGTATGCACTACTACATTAATGTTGATATGAGGGGATACTATATCACGCTTAACGATACGAATTACATTGAAATTATTTTGAATCTCATCATCTTCGTGTACCTGTAGGTTTATTATGTGTTAAATTAGCAGCACTGATAGTCCATATGGTTATACATATAGAAATGTGTATTTTAAATGTTGTTGTATTCTCTGTAAATAAATATGAATGTTGTCAGTAAAAATTGTGAGTACAGATATTTTATACTTTGTTCTCTGAAACACATTGATGCAAAACATGGCATAGTGTGCAAAGAAGAAGATGATGATGATTTTGCGAGGTATCTGCACATTTAAAGGAGGAGGGAGAATCTTTACATTACATAACGTCTTGCATATGCACAAGGTAATCCGGTTTGTCGTTCTTTGTTCAGTCAGTCTTTCGACAAACACTGTTTATGTTTGAAAAATTTTACAAATCCCAACTCCACTAACGAACAGGTAACATTATTAAAAGTTAAAAAAATCTAAAATTAAATTACTATTTTCATGTTAATATTGTAATTTTAACTTACAGTACAACCCAACCATCTAAAAAATGGAATCCGCACAACCACCACCACCTTCTAAACCATCTACCAACAAACCCCACCAATTCATCGGTTCTATGGCTCTCGTAGTGAAAGATTATGACGAAGCGATTGCATTTTTTACCCAAAAATTGGATTTTGAACTAATTTGCGACGAAGTCCAGACACCACCGACGAAACGCTGGGTACTGGTTCGGCCCCCGTCTAACATTCCTAACAATATCGAAAGCTGTTGCCTCCTCTTGGCCCGAGCGGTGGGCGAGGTGCAAGAAGCGTCGATCGGAAATCAAACGGGGGGTCGTGTCTTCATGTTTCTTCACACGGATGATTTTTGGCGAGATTATGAAAAGTATACGGAACGAGGGATCAAATTTGTCAGACCACCGACGGTGGAGCCTTACGGAACGGTTGCTGTTTTTCAAGATATTTCCGGAAATTTATGGGACTTGGTGCAGATGAATGAAAAGCGATGAAAAGTTTTGACGAAAATTATGTAATAAATATTTTACTAGGGGTGAAATATTTGCTAAATGAATAAATAAGTTATTACTTATGTACATGTCCCTGCAAATGCAGATGTAAGTACTTAGAGTTTGAAATTTTATTGTCTTTTGGTGCATTCAATTTATTGTTTATGGTGTGGTTTTTATACCGCTGTGGAATTCAAAGAATTAAGGTTTCCTTCGAATTGTTAGAGTCACCTTGCATAAATATCATTCGTCTAAAATATGTCTAAAAGACTGCACATCACGTCTTTTAATGGAGAAAGTGCACATTTAAAATAAGAGTTTGCCAACATTATTGGCAAACTTTGGTCATTTCACTCAGCGAAAGAACATTCATGCAGGTCATTTCGGTCTCAAGTTTACTTTAGTCTTTAGTTTTTACAACTCTATTTTGTCTGGAAAGTAAAGACCACAAAATCGACCCAATTCCACCTTTATTGCAACCACAGCATATGACATTGACCATGTAGGCATTTTATTAAGGGTTCTTGCAAGTTTTATCGAGGTGTTGTTAAGCCTTTTTCATCGGTAAACTGTGAGAAAATGACAATTCGTAAATTGGGTAGGAATTACGTGCTCAAGCTGGAATCCTTGGGTGAAAGCGGTTACATTTATAGATAGAGATAGGATTATGTTATTTTCTTGGAAAAACATTGTATGCTAGTTTTAGTACTAAAAGCGTTTAGAGAGATCAAAATAATGAAAAAATACGATTGACTGTTGACATTCTAGGTTTATAAATACTGTGCAAAATGAAAATCTAGACAAGGTAAGTCGTCAAACGGCCAGAAATATTCAAAATACCCTATAAATTCAAATATTTGTATGTATCGGACCACACACTAAAATTTCAGACAATAACGTACAAATCCTTAGTTTATGTGCACACGTGCTTGGTACGTAATATGTACTAAATATGTATCATATTATGCCCATGAGATCTGCAAACTTGATGATGAAGGTTATTCTTACAAACTTCCATGGTTCATTCAAGGACAATAACCAGTAATGCTTTAATAGTATAATTTTTTAATGGCTACATAAGTATTTGTAAAGGAAAGTTTTCCATAGACGAGTCGTCCATTTCTGGTGTATTTGATGACTCTCGTGTCTGGAGGGTGAGGAATCAAACTTTTGCTTGAGATGCAAATACATAATTCTGCCATAATAGCAAACTTCTTTCTCTTAATGACAATGGTACGGATGCAATGACGGCCTGATGATAACAATTACAGATAAAGTTTCCCAGTTTATCATGCTTATACAATGGTTATAATTTCAAGGTTTATTTCTGCCTTTTTAGTTCCTCCCACATACATATCTCGATGTGCATTTCGTCTCGTAAAACCATCAAATTGATCCAATTTCACCTTTATTTCGACACTATTGACTACGAATGTGAGTTTTATTGACAAGTTAGAAAATTTTATTGCCTTGTATGCTTGTCTACTTCATTAAACTGTGGGAAATACAGTATAATACATAAATTGGATAGAATGAAATGAGAATGGCAATCAAATCTGTGGAGAAAGCATTTTTATGATCGTCAAGGAACGTAACTTGCTTTCTATTTGGACCCATTAAAATCGTGATCTGCGGTTTATTCTCCCTTTACAACAATTGCAGTCATGTCTCATGGAGGATAGGATTTGGAACCTGTGATTAAAATCTGCAATGCGACTTCTGATGGGGATGTTAAAAAATTATGCTTTCCTTTTTCCATCCAGTTCGGATTTAAAGTACTTTTTTAGTCGTGATCGTACCGTCAGCTAATTAGCATAACTCATAGTATTTTGATACTGTATAAAATAGTATTTTCACCAGTACAAGAATGCATAATGAGATTACAATACATATTTTATTTTTAAAATCACATTTGATTTGAAATAGGTTTGAATCTTGTTCCCCAAAAAAATTTGGTGAACATATTTTTGAGGTACGTTAAATTGATCATGTATGTAAGTGAAAGTGAACACCAATAATTAACTTGGAGTTGAGAAATAATCGTGCATTCGGATAAATTATGGTTTATAAATTTAAGCACATCAAATCGGATTAAGTTATACTTAAATTGAATCAATTACAACTTAATTTATGTAAATATTTTATAAATATTTGTGTTATACATACATACACATTTCCTATTAGTAATATGTATATTTGAGATTTTAACAGGAATATATACTACTTTTTTCAATATAACTCATCTTCAAGTAACAAAATAAGATACAAATTAACATAACCTTGTTAATAGTTTTAATTCTGTGTGCATTAAAATTAGACCCTCTTTTTGTATGCAGAATTGGGTCTAATTATAAAATACCAGCCGTAATTGTACCATACACATTTATAATTAATTACACATATTAATGCTCACAATATTTTTTTCTTCATAAATATGTTTTTAGAGAATTAACTACAAATACGTACATAATGTGTAACTCACATGTTAATATTATGACATCAGTACATAGATACATAAATTACAGGACGTTACATTTAGGATACACTTATTTTTTAGTGCATAATACGCTCTGTCCATAATTTCAATTTCATATATATATTTTTCATATAACAAATTAATCTGAAAAGTTTAAAACAAATATATTCGATATCAGATAAAATAGGTAATTTGCTGATCGTAATTTTGATTGTAAGCGTCTTCGGTTTCTATTTGGTGTTTGTAATACCGATTTACAATTAAATATGTCGATATAATAGATTTACATACGTATCTTCAGTTTGAAAATAATAATCATAATGGTTTCTTTCTTAACGTTGTTCCCGTTTCTGATAATGATTTTGGTATAATATTTACATATGCATTTGACTAATTTTTCTTACTGATTGAACAAAAATAAGTAAAACATTGTACCACATAATACGTATAAATTATGAATAGTCAAACATCCAACATTGAGAATTTTTTACAGTATTTTTTACGTAAAATGTTGAATAATTGATGTGAGATAAATATTTATGGAGACTTTTAATACATTTTCAGATAAACGTATTAACTGTCGACTCTTCCTTCACGACGGGTGGACCTGCGGAATTTGGGTACAATTTGTTGTTGGGGAAAGTTGTGGACACCCGGCGCATGTTGCCATTCACCGTGGCGCTGCAGATGCTTAAACTGTGACCGTGAGCGAATGTCACTTGTGTGCTTTCGCTGGCTGTAGATTCCCTTTTTCTGAAATTGTGAGCTGGAGCATTGTACAATCTAAAAGAAGAGAAAATAAATAAAATTAGGTCTTTTTTCATAAAAGGAACAGAATTTATGTATGTATTGGATAGCAGGATGGTTTCTTTGTAAGTTCATTAACATGTCCGGGATCGATGTTCATTCAAAATAATTTTTCATAATTGGCAAAATTTTGAGAATAGAACTTGATAAAGTTATTATAACTCAATTAGCGTTTCATTGAAGGGAATACGATTACGGACATGTCGAACCAAAATGTCTTCTTGTCGAGTCACGGCGTAAGTCAATAATAGATAATAAAGTAAATTATGAAACAAAGCTCTCAATTTTGAAATTCCTTTAGTTTTTGAGTGGAAATGAATTATTGATAATGCGATTATTTATTACGTAGCAATCTGTCCAATTAAATGGAGCGGATGGAATTATCACCATTGTCTAAATGCAGAGACAATAGTGATAATTCCGCATGATACATAATATATTTTAAAGAAGAGTTTACAAAAAGAGAAAGCAGAGAAAGTATTGGATAAATCCGACGAATTGTTAATAGTAAAACCAACAAAAGACAAAATAACAAATAGAGCCAAAAACAGAAATAGATTGACAGATAGTAGAAAGTGAAATATATTTGGGTCATCAAACCACGGGCAGATTGTGAACGGTCTCTTTTAAGAGATTTGGTTTCAAATTCTTCCTCCATGCTTCCAATTAAAACAATTCGACAAAATTTTCCATAACACGACATGACCACAATCTCCCCTTTGTTTGAATTGGTTAGTGTCATTATGAGAATACCGAATACTTTCTGTTCTGGAACGTGGAGACCAATCCCTCATTTGTTGTAGACGCCTACGCCTCCCGAAATTACAACAGTTGAATCCCGGCGTTCGGAGTCTGTTCCATCGATGACGAATTGCCTTGCGAACCTCACCATTCAAAAAGCAATAGAGCAGAGCTACCAGAAAACCCTAAGAACAAAGAGAACAAGAGAGAACAGGGTAAATTAGAAGATTAATTCAATTATAGGTTCTCAATGGGGCTAATTTTTACTTGGTAAGATACACTAATCGAATTATGACTTAAAATCAGACGTCACTGTCGGAAAAAGTGGGACATAATTTTATTTATAAGACATTTATTCCATCACAATGGGATCTTTCAAGATTTTGTAAATATTTTCGTGTACATAACTTTCTCCATAAGAAATGTATGCCTACTTACTTGCGTCGAGATGAGCAAGGCTCTCGTAAACTCGTATGCAGGTTCACGACTGCCAGCCAACATGAGCAGATAAGTAATGCCGAGTAACGGCATTAACACGATCAACGCCTTCGCCGCCTTCATTGATTGTTGAGTCTCTGGATTTGTCGCGGATCTCAATTTTGTTATGAGGACCTGAAATGGAAATGTTGTTATTAGTAAAAATAAAGTGTGAAAACATTCCAGGCCCTGCGTGGGGTAAGCTTTGAAGAAAATGTGGCAAGCAGCAACGTCATCACAGTCATCAATATATACAAATATTTGTGTCCATAAAGGTATGAAATCAGTGGCCGCGGAAATGTGAGGACAATGTCCCCACCGTTATTCGATGTCCCCATCATCTACCTATGTTATATAAACCCCTCCCTCCCCCATCCCAGATGTTAATGTCCCCAGATGTCCCACGGCTTCCGCGGCCACTGTATGAAATGATGCTACTATGTACACTTTATATTCGCGTATGCAACTCCTACACATATGCATCAACGTGGTTTGGTTTGGGCCCAGGTACTCAAGTAAGGATGGTTTATCCATGTAATCAGAACAACATCGTAAACAAACACACTTCAAAGTTGAGATTTCGATTGCTTTCACTTTCACCAGAATGCTTTCACCCATTTTAGAAAATCTTTAAAAGTTTTCCGTGTCATGAAATCACCAACTTTTTGGTAGCGAATAAAAATATTCTAATATTTTGGAATTCAATTTTTACTACGAATGTAATGTAGAAGTTTTGGTTATTTCAAGGAGCGAGCTGTCACCCTGATCGGGGATTTGACTACGTTTTGTCAGATGACAACTGTTTCACGGTCGGATTGGCTTTCTCCTTTACAAAACTTTGTGTTGAATTTAGGCGAGAAACGAGCTCACCCATAAATTTACAGGAAATGCTCGTCATGTGCGAAACTGACAGTCTAAGTATCTGCTGCTTTGTAGTGAGGTGAATTTTCTGCAGCGAATGCATATAAATCTACCTCATAACTTGTACGTATATGATAAATAGGCTTCAGTTTTAGGAGCATGGTTTCTAAAATTGTATGCAAATACGGCATGCTGGTTGGTTAATCCGTAGTGTTTAGAGCAACGCAAATCTGCTTATAAAATGTTACTGGCTGTATTATTATTACAATTATTATTGCCGACTCATGTGAAACATGTTGACATTTCCTGAATAGATAATAAACAGAATTACTTATGCATCAATCTGATTTTAATCATTTTACAAAATCATTAATTTCCTGTCCGGAATCCTGTCAGAAACTGGAAACTCTTCCTTCTAGCATATCCGATTTCTCTCGCAAAAATTATGACGGTTTATGTATAGATAGAGATGAGGGTGGACGAAAGGCATACTTACCCACATAATTTGCAGGAGGAAAAGCGAATTTGCAGCCAACGTCAGGATGACGGGGGCCTAGGAAAGAAGAGCCAAGTTATAATCGCTTTAATTTAAGAATCCCATTTTATTCCTCATTTAGCTGTTTTCATTATTTGTTAAGCACGATAAACTTACCTTGTAAATCCAATCGGCTATCTGGAACGTGAAAAATTATTATTAGACTTTCCCCACGTGCAAATTGGATGAAAAAGGTCAATTTTCATGTGTTAATCTTATGGACGGCTTGTTAAGAGACGATCTTTCCTACGTTTTTACGGATTCTTTTAATTAATTTTAGGTAGAACTCTTAGAAAATATTTGCTATGTGTTGAATGACATCAGAATAACATAAGTTTAGCAACTAGGAAAGTGCCATATATTTAAACATAAAGATTGCACATTCTCGGTGAAAGGATTTTCTCAACTTACACTCATTCCAAGCCATACACATGTCTCATCCAGCTCAGAAACTGGTCCCTATAAAAATAAATCATCAAATATTTGTTACCAAAATCTTACTTACTGAGGATAGAAAGGTTACTTACTTGATTCCAGAACAAGAGCCACTTGGCAATAGCCCAGCAAATTACAATTGCCAATGGGAGTCCTGAAATATAAATGCAAATATGTTAAGAAGAATCCCACCAAATTTCTAATGCTAATAGGAATCGAATCTTACCCCATCCAATGCTCACGTAAATTCGGAGTTTGATATTCTCTGCGACAAAGGTTTGTACCACCAGTACGTATAAATAGAGGCCTAAATTGATCGAATAACAATCCCAATAAAATAAATGGTTCTATTCAGAATCAACATATTTCCTTTTATTTATTATTACCTTCTACAAACATCCAAAAGAAATTTGTCAGATGAAAATAATGGAGGAGGATGTATGTAACACAGGACACGTGTGTGTGACCGCCTCCAGTTTGTCCCTAAATTAGAATGGATAAATCCAATTTAAACGTAATCTAATCTTGCAACAGCGACATTCTTCAAGTGCTAGGACGACTTAATCAACATCGAAAATAATGGCACCGACCAAAAACCACAAAACATTATCAGAAAAGCAAGGCTTAAAAAATGCAACTTTCTGATTTTTCATCCATATTTATTATGGATGAAAAATGTGTCGCTGCTCTGCACCCCTGCTGCTGCTGCTGCTTTCACTCTGCATATTCTATTCCCAAGCTCAGGTTTCTACTTTCTACTCCCAACAGTGGCCGCGGAAGCGTAGAAAAAATGTCCCCACGGTTATTCAATGTCCCCATCATCTCTCCATGTTATACAAACCCCTCCCTCCCCTATCCTACAATGTTAATGTCCCCACAGCTTCCGCGGCCACTGACTCCCCGTGAAATATTTTCTGCTCCACCACAAATAACCGAGACAAAAAGTTTCAGCGAGATGGATTTCAAGTTTTTTTATTTTCTGTTTGGTTGGTTGGTTGGTTAAGACAACGTTGAGCTTACAATCCTAATCCAATTGTGAAGAGCTGCATGGTACTACCACCATCATACCACTTGTATTTATTTTTCTCATATCCACCATTCCCTGGAGAAAAAAATGTGTTTTTTTCTGCAATCTGTCATCTACCAACCTTTGCAATTGAGTTTGAAAAAATAAAAAATAAACCGAGCCAGAGTTGAAATGTTAGCATATCAAAGGGAGAAATGGTGGAGAAAGTGGATGGATTTTGACACTTGAGTTCTCCAAAGTCATTTCAGAAAGGAATGTCTTAAATTTGAAATGTAGATGAAATAGTACTTGACATAAAATTCACGTCTTTGGTTTCTTTGTTTGAGTATGGAATATAATATTGGATTATGAAACATGTTTCGTAAGAGATCATAGGTATATATTTTATAAGTTTGATTGAAAGCTACAGAAGTCGTGAAGACCGCATGCTGAAAATTGTTACTAGTTTTTGGAGCTTAGAATAACAGTATGCCCTTAAATTATGACAAATAATCGTAAGTATGTAATACCTGCGTGGCATCTGGAAGGGCAGAAGTGGAGGTGAAAGTCGTAGAGCTGGTGATGATCCACAACGTATCGGCGAGAATGTAGGTGACAATTAAATTCGTATGAATCGTATTCCGAAGACATCGTAACTCTCTGAAAGTAAATACAGAATAGAAAAATGAGCATGATCCGATGATATAAATAAATCGCGAAAATACACATTTCAACATTTTGGGTTTTATTATATTGCGAAAATAATGTCGCAAAATATATTTTGTATTTTCCATGTCAGAAATCTTTATAAGCATATGAAATTTTTGAAATTTAGAAATAGTGAAATTTTGAAATTTCCCAGAAACTCTTTAGTGAATTATAGCATTTTATACTCCATTGTATGATCAGTAGTTCAGTTGCACAAACTAATTGTGCATAAGTAATACAACTGACAAAGAATTATCCATTCCATTTTGAAAAATATTGCAAAAAACTGCATTTTCAAAAATAGAAACCATGTGCTATGAACCATTAACATCGCTGTCAATTTAGTGCTTTCATCAAACTAAATCATATACGTGTCCTCTTCGTGGAAAACCTTCAACTTGACGTTGGCTTGGCTGGAGACCTTGAGCCCCATCATCGGTCGGTGCTATTCCATCAGCACTTTCAAATAAATAAATCCGCAGATCAATCATCTCCTTTTGTCGGAGATCTCGCACACTTTCTTCTGGTTTCTCAAGGAATGACTGATTCATGTTCGAGGGGAGAAAGTAAGTAGAATAAAAGTGTGTGGAGCGAGATGCATGTGATACATCAAATCAAAATAAAGTAAAACCTGTGTTCTGACTGCGGCCAGAATTATCTGGAGAAAGTTTCCACCTAAGAAAAAGGATGATATTGCGAAATTGAAGTTTGGATGGCAATTAGATTTTTTCGCGAAAAAATAAGTAAACCTAAAATCTTCTAGTCGTCTTAAATCTCACTGATGTTTTTTTGTATATCCTTTTTCCTTTCATTGTTGTCTCCTATTTTAACTTCAGAAGGTTTTTGCCAGGTAGGTGACAGTTATTGAAGACGACATGTGTAAGTAAGTGAAGTGCAAAGGGGTTTGGAGAAAAAATCGTGATCAAATAAATGGCAAGATGGATTGGAAATGTGAAACGTTCATTTCAACGGCTGTACTAAATTTCGCATCAATATTTTCAATACAGAATTTTTTGCAAAGTTATAATTCCCATAAATATTTCTAGCATGTATCAATTATTAAAATTTCAATTAGGTTGGTTTTTCCTGATCGTGACACGTTTGTTTTTTTAGTATGACCCTAAAATAATTCATATGATAAATCATAGCAGAGATAAATAAAGATAAAATCGCAATATCGCATAAAAAGATCAAAATCTGTATTACATGAACCGTGAGAAATTTGACCAATGGTCAAGCATATGAAACCTATTTGCAAAATTGGATATACAAAAAATAGACTCTGTCTGTGCCGGTCAAGCTTACTCAACTAAATGTACCAGAAATTTGGATTAGACTTGACCGGTTGGCAGACCATAGAAATTCCTTCACCGTAAAGATTCTAATATTGAAGATGAAAGGCGAAAGGGAAAGTTGGGACACAAATGGTAAAAATATTCTCAAAGACGTTTCTTGCGGCAACCTTTTTGTCACTGTCAATGCTTCCGCAGTTACTTTCATCTTGACGACGACGACCGCACATCACTGGACATTCTACGCACACAAAGTGTCATCGTTTCAGTCGTGAAAATTGAGGTGAATTACACCCCCGCAAGGAAACCCGGTATGAAATAGCTGTTAAACTTATGATCCCAATTTTTCACAGAATTTTGAGGATCACACATCTGTTCTTTTGGGGTCGGATGAACATCGTAAATAGAATTGTCGAGAAATCATATCAGTCGCGTGAATCATTGTTAGCATTAGCGATAAAATGGAATGTCTTGCTTTTTCCTGCGAGGCGTCAATTATTTTCGCTTTAAATTTATTACGTACTATACGCACAAGATGATACGGTACTTACTTGAAAGCTAGGAAAATTATCATGGCAATCGTAACGGCTGCAAGGGAGAGACAGTACCCACAGAAATAGACGCCTGTAGTGAGAGCAAGGATATTTGACTCATTGTCATTTATGGTACTGTTGTTTGGGACGGGTTGACACAAATCGTATATGGTATTGTTCCATTCTCCGCCGTTTGGTCCTTCGGAACAGAAGCGGGTGGCGTTTTCTGCAATAAAAAAATAGGTCTTTGTGTTACACTCATAATTTAAAATGGGGAAAATTCTGTGTAAGTGACAATTTAATATTTATGCATTCTTTAATCGCCCCACCATTCTGCTGATTTTAGTAATTATACCATGACAGATATTCGTTCAACGATCTGGCGTGATTTATGTAAGTACAGCGGTGAAAGTGCAGAATTGTCATTGAACCGTGAACTGTCGAGGTGGCTTATCAGATTTACTCGTCCAAGTAAATGCTGCTGCTGCAAGTTTCATATTTAGTTTCATCATGCAAGTGGTGAAAGATAATATAATGATTGGATGTAACGTAACTCGAGGTTAATATAATAATGAAGAGGACATTAAATTGAGATGAATGAATAGGAGTCCTCCCAAACTGACATGACTCTGAAATACTCTGAATAAGGATATATTTCTAACTCGATAATAATAATTTTGAGGAAACTGTCCGAATTGGGTCGTTCATGAATATTTCGTGTAGAAGATGGAAATGCATTTCATGTCCTTAAATGCATTCACAACGTTATTTACACAACATCCTTATCACTCTATTCGTCTTCTTGTGTCGCATCCCGTCAGACTGTAGTTCTCTCATCTCGAAATAATAATGACTGAAACAAGTGAGGAACAAAAGAAGTAAAATTTTGTGAAAGTGTGAACATTTCCCATTTATTAGTCTTCCTATGGACCGACCAACCGACAGACAGATATAGCTTGTCCATCTCTTATTTCAACTTTTGCTCTGCCAAAAATAGGATCATTTGGGCGGCATTCCTTATACGATGCGAATGTATATGTACGAGCTAGTTTTGTTAGTTTAGTTGAGTGCTGATTCTACTTCTAGGAGACAGAAAGAGGAGGGAAGATTAATGAGGCTGCCTATTATTCAATGTCCTTTTGTTGTACAAGTTGGACTGATATAGATTATAGGTACATACATACGAATAGTGGGGCATTAGTGCGAAACAAAAGTAAGTGCAGATCTGGGATATGTCTAGTTAGCGGATAGAGTTTTACTAGTCGGAATGAGAAGGAAGACCGTTCCAACTTGGTTTCGGATTTAGTTAAGGAGAGGAAAAAGACATGAGCACGTTTCTCCTACAAAATTCAGTAGTGAAAGCAACAAAAGGTGTCATGTTACATACATATGAACAAAAACAATAGGACTAAATTCTGGCTTTGTGTGCTATTTGTGTAAAGCAGGATGCATGGTGCGTGCAAAAGTCTAAATTGGTAAAATAATTGTATTTTCACCCTCATGTGAGGCGCAAAGTTGTTTAAAAATTCTCCAATTAGACTAATGATTAAGCAAATCACGAAGAAAAAAAATATTCGCGCACAGACACGCCCGGCTTTCTCCACGCTTTTGTATTAATCCGAGAAATCCGATTTACTCAAAAATCAATGGGAAATAAGAGAAAATCTTTTTATAACATGGCGGAAGGAAATGCGATGATTCGAGAATATATACGAACTCTCATTATCAATAACAATATGATACCATCAATCTTACTCTGAACCAGATCTACTCAACAAATAAGATTACAAAAGAAGAAGGAGGAGGGATCTGCAGTTGAGAAATTGGCAATAATAAATTACTACTTATTCCTGCCCGAGTATCTATAATGCTCAGGATCAGTATATATACCGTATAAATGGGAACTTTCTTCTTTTGAGCAGGGTTCATTCTGATGTAATTTGTGAGTCATGAGATGTTATACATAATACATTCTTCCTCTCGTTGTTGCAGCTTGTTGGGATCTTGAAGACTAACCACCCACATAACTTTTGATTGGTGAATATTGAATTTACTTACGAATATACAACTACAGCACGGTGGATCGTTTTAGTATGAAATTCCCCAAAATAACCTGCCTTATTCTGCGCGAGGTTGAGAAATTGGTTGCAATGCTCCACTTTTGTTCGTGAGAATTAATCTTTAGAGAAAACTCTGGTGAAGGTGGAGTGGAGGAGAGCTATCAGCTATTTGCTAATTGAATTAGGACACGATCAACAATGTCTTGAAGAGGTTGAATTAGTGGATCCGTCTGTTTTCACTACTTTCACATCTCATGAGTAGCCATCATGATAATGTAATTACCAATCTTCTACTACTACATCCTGCTTCATGCATTCTCATACACAGGGAAAACCTCACTTGTTCTTCACCACTTAAAGTTTGAGCCAGTTTTACCTTTCTCCTAACCTACTCGACACGCTTGTTGTTGTTGTCACTGCCACGTTCTAGTACCTACTACTACCGTTTACATAGGTATGAGTAGATATATACGTTAATCTCGACCGCATGCAGGGTGATCCTCGACCTAACCTTCTCCTTCGTCTGGGATAAATATTAAATTATAATTATTCCATTATTCTCTAATTTATGAATTGCGCTCTCCACTCAAGCCATGAACGAGCTTGGAGAGTAAACATAATTTGAATTCGGATGCATGTCAACCTGCACGAGGGGAGTGGATGATATTTTATTTATTTTACGGAGAGAAAGTGATGTCGTGTAGGTGTAGGTAGCGTGTTCACGTGGCAAAGAAGACGAGTAGTAATAAGGTACGACATGTATGTAACGATTGAGTGGATGAGACTCTTATTCTTTAGACTCTACTGTAATGGATGAAATATTTTATAAATTACTGACTTTCAACGTGACTCGGGTTGGATTAGTAGAATAACAAATATTTAAATCCAACACTCTCTAATTACTCAAAATTTAGTATGTGTATGTATCTATCTTATCTCACAAGACTTAAATATATAAATTCTTAACTTTATCGATTAATTTTTTCAATTCATTTTTTTTGTCTCAAAAACAACCCGAGTCAAAACAAACACATGTTTACTATTCTCATCTGGATATAAAGTTTCAGGTGACTCTTTAAGACGTTGACGAAGATTTAAGAGCTTTATTACGCTTAAATAATGATGAGACAGAAGCTTATACAACTTTGCACGTTTCATTTTTACCGAGAACTGCTCCTCCGTTAAGCCATCACAAAAAAAGAACAAAGTTTTATCAAAGAAGGCAGTTAAGCTCGTGTAAAATGTCGCACACCAAACGACACCAACTGTTTTAAAAGTCAATTCAAGGCTGAACGGAATCTTTGACACGTGTAAAACAATCCCATAAAAGTGTCCTCATTATTATTTTTGTGAGGAGGAGCGACAGACTTCCTGCTTTCTTAACAAAACAGCCCGTATTAATAAATCTGGTTAATAGTCGACTTGCAAATAGACTGCTAATGTTTAATGTAGTGTAACAAACTCCGCATTTATTTACCGAAAAAAACTCGCAATTGAAGTTAACAATAATTTACTTTGTTGTTTCTCCAGAGTTAACAAATGTGAATGCAGTTGTGTTATTTAGAAGCTGTCTAATTTTAGAGTGGGTGCACCACCCTTTGCACCACATTTTTTTTGTTGGGTAAAGTCCAAAAATAAGCGTCATTCATGTCATTTTAGACACATTGAAACGTAGTGAACGTTCTGAATGAAATTGTACACTGGGAAAAGAAGAGGTTGACGATATGCAAGAGTAACACTTCACTTGGCGCATTGACGAATTGGCTTGTAATTGCCTAAGAATTAGAGTAAAATGTCAGAACAGAACCACAGATCATGTATTTTAAGGCCGGAATGAAGTATGCATTTTTAAGTAAAAATAAATATTATGACTCAAAACAATCGAACTAACAACGCGAAAAATCCGTTCCGTATGCATTTTTTTGCATGAAACCTATGCGAAATTTATATAAATAACGAGATAGACGACAACGTCTGCATACACATATTTAGTTACTATCCTTCTTGCAATGCAATCCTTTTGTGTCCAAAGTTGAACAAGAAAGGGTAAAGTCCGTCCGTTCCAGATTCCAGAGATTGCATTATCTTGTTCTCTGTGCCAAATAATTTCTCATTGTAGCAAGAAACTGATCTTGGCAAAGATTTTTAGGAGACGACCCCACTCACTTTAGTCTGGATAATATTACTTTTGTCACATGTGCAAATATATTTGGGTCTGTTATGTCGTGTTCTGTCATCGTAACGCAACAAAAAAACGTCCTTGCAGTCGATCCATGCAACTTCTCCACCTCTGAAGAGGAATGAAACCATTCTTGCACACATTCGTATTCTAAAAACATGTTTGTTTTACACTTTGGCCATAATTGACTGTTTTATCAGCTTCATTTTAAACGGAAGAGGAGCAATATTAAACAAACAGCTAAATTACGAGCAAAAGTTGGCAAACATATTACCGTCGCGCCGATCAAGTTGAATAATGACCAAACTCTTAACATTTTCTGAATGCTTTTCAACTACAAAATTTCAGCATTGTTTGGCTTGTCTCTTTTTTGGTTGAGGAATGAATTGTTTACATATAAATTTAAGGAAAAATGATGGAATTATGAGTTGAATCAATAACGGATCATGCCACACGTTCATGGTACGAACTTTTTTTTATCGAAATTTTGCTCCACACTTCGATTGCGGTGTAGAAATAGAATCTTTGTTGACGAAGGAGCATTGGAGTAAATGCAGCAGCTACATTAGACAACTCATGAATTATTGAGCGCTTATCCCATCTTTGTGTGAGTACTGCTTTAGAAATCAAAATGACAGTTTGTTTACCGACGCAAGCAAGCCAAGAAAGTATGAGTTGGTTGGTTTGGTAGGCTCATTCCTTTCCCTGACGACGTTGCTCACTTTGGTGGGGGACTCACTTGATGGAGACAATGCCCACTACATGATGAGATGAAGAACAATAACACACGAGTCGTCTTTGCACTTAGCTGTCTTCCAAAATGCTGTAATGAAATATGAGATGAGATAAAAGCATCTTCACGATTCAATATAAGTAACGTTGACTGCTGAGCAAACCCAAAAAGTGAGTGTGTTCACTGTTCACTCAAGAATCTGGTGAAATGAAATGAACCGAGAGCGAATCTATCCAAGCTATGGGATCAATATC